TTACAACTTCTTCTTTGATAATATGCAGAAGTTGTTCACAAGGTTTATAGAAGCACACCTAATTGCTGAACAAGATGAGAATCTTAAAAAGAAAAATTAAGAGACTTGATCGAAGCCATTAGCACCCTTCCTTTTAATTGCAACATATAGTCATCCAATCTCTAGAACTTTCAGAGGCTCAGTTATTATGTTCCTGATTGAATTCATTTACATAAACTTTATTTTTCTATTATCCTGTTTTTCCTGTGTCCCTGTTCCTTTGTATCCTGAGTTCCTAGGGTGACTGGCATATAGCACCTGTTTAAAGTAAGTTGGTTATATTGAAATTATTAGCATAAATGTGGGAGAAATTTCTCCAGCCTCAATATAGGTCCCAAAGTAGACATGTAGCGCACACTAGTTATAAAATGGACAATCAGCCTCCTGTTAACTAATCAGATTGCATGCTTCAATTAGTCCAGTCTTAGCCATGCTTACTGTAGAAAAGGATGGTATTAAGATTCATGGGCTAGAAATAATGGGACAGCTGGAATTTAAATGGGACAGTGCACAGGTGAATTTCAGAGACAGAAGGGTGGCATTAACAGAAATGTCTACAATTATGGGCTGTTTTGTGCTGGGTCTATAATCAGTGGATCAGTTTCCTCCCTTATGTGGATAGTCTCTTGGTGCCCATTGTATAGCATGGCCCCTGATTTGTCAAGACACCTGTCTTCTAAAGAACATAACACGTCTTTGATATTCAATCTGGTAATCTTACTAATAACAAAATCCTAAAATAGGTTCTCCAATTCAAACTATAGGAGAAGGGTTACTAAGCCTGGAAATTATAGTTCCCATTGAGGCTTTGTATTAAATTTCAAAATTTTAGTCATATACCTAAAAAATTATATACTCCCTTTTAATCTTATTTGTGTTTTAGTATATTGGCCAAAGTCTACTAGGTTGGACCCTTTTAAGATAACACAAAGGTAAGGTAAAGGTGTGTGTGTGTGTGTGTATGTGCATGTGTGTATTTTAAACATCATGACGTGGGCCTGGTAACCTGAGTTTTGGAGTGGGAAGTGTTAGCAGTACTGGTATCACATACAAGTCATATCTTCAAAAGGCTCTGTAACTTATTTTCACATTTTCAAAATAAGTGCTTTAAAAAACAAAACAAAGTTTAATGGTAGGACATGTCTTTATTGATTTTTTTTTTAGAGGAAGGGAAAGAGATAGAAACATTGATATGAGAGGGAACCATCAATTGACTGCTTTCTGCACTCCCCCAACTGGGGATTGAGCCTGAAACCCGGGTACTTGCTCTGACCAAGAATCGAACCAGGACCTCTCAGTCCATGGGACAATGCTTGGTGGTCCACTGAGCCACACTGGTCGGGTGGTAGGACATTTTATTTATTTATTTATTTCCTCACCCAAGGACATTTTTCCATTGTTTGTTCAAATAGAGTGGGAGGGAGAGAGAGTGAGAAACATTGACGTGAAAGGGACACATCGAGTGGCTGCCACCCACACGACCCAACCAGGCCCGGAGACAAACTGCAACCGAGGTACGTGCCCTTAGTGGGAACCGAACCCGGGTCTCTCTGGACCGCAGGCTGACACTCTAACCGCTGAGCTACACCAGCCAGGTGGTAGGACATCTTTTTAAAGTAAAGCTATCCTTACCCATCTGTGCATGGCTTTTCCCATTTGTACATAGAATTTTCTCAAATTCTTAAGTATTCTGTACTTTTGATAACAACATGATGTATTCATAAGCTCTTATTCCTATAGTACATGTTTATTAGAGTTGATTTGGCAGATACTTTCTTTAGTCAAAATATATTTACATTTTCAGAGGCAACCATGGGCATAATTTCTATTTGACTAATAACTAGTGGCTAGACTTATAAGTGCTTACCTACCTCATTTTGTTTCAACAGATTTTCTCTGCCTTGGCAGTACTGACATTTCAGACTAGATAATTTTCTGTTGGGGGCTATCTTGTGCATTGTAGGCTATTTAGCAGCACCCCTGATTTCTAACCACTAGATGCCAGGAGTATCCCCTTTACCCCTCAGTTGTGACAGGAACATCTCCAGATACAGCCAAATGTCCACTGCTGGCCAAAACTACCTCCAGTTGAGAACAACTGGTTTAAAACAAACAAAAATTAGCCCAGCCAGTGTGGCTCAGTGGATTAAGCGTCATCCCATGGACTGAGAGGTCCCAGTTTGATTCCCAGTCAGGGCACATGCCCAGATTGCAGGTTCGGTTCCCAGTAGGGGCATGCAGGAGGCGGCCAGTCGATGATGTATCTTTTTTACAGCAATGTTTCTCTCTCTCTCTCCCTTCTTCTAAAAAAACAAAATCAATAAAAACACTTAAAAACATTTTTTAAAACAAACAAAAATTATATTTTCTATGAGGAAACTTCTTTACAGTCTTTGTATGTGATAAGGTCCTGTATTTGTTATAATCAATTTCTTTAAAAAAATTTTTTTTTATCTTCACCCGAGGACATTTTTGCATTTATGTTCAGAAAGAACAGGAGGGAGAGAGGGAGGAAGAGAGAGAGAGAGAAACATTGATATGAGAGAGACTCATCAAGTGCTTGTCACCCACACGACCCCAACCAGGGCCGGGGACAAACTGCAACCGAGGTACGTGCCCTTAGCAGGAACCAAACCCAGGACTCTCCAGTCTGCGGGCTGATGCTCTAACCGCTGAGCCAAACTGGCCAGGGCTAGTTAATCAGTTTCTATGGACAAACCAAGTCTTACTTGAAAGGTTAGCAAGCACCTTTGTTCTAATACATATAAAACCCAAGGATGGAATTCAGTGAAACTTACTCACTATAGCTAAGTTATACTGTGTTTAATTTTTGTAGAAAAAATAGCCAGAGATAATCTCTTTTTAATCAAATAAATTCATTCAACATGAAAGGAAAATTAACTCCTTTCAGTCAAACATAGGTTGGAAGAGGTAGCATTAACTACGTAAGGAATAATTGTTAAAAACCCTCACAGGTTGAAATGCTTCTGTTGAAATGTTCATTATATGTTACTATACCATATTTAGCAATATTGTAATATGTCAGGGTCATCATCCCAATCACTTTCATCCCAATCATTTTCAGTGTTGGTAGTTATGGGACTGGGCTGAATTTCCAAGGCTACCCCTTGAACTTGCTTTTTCAAACAAACCTCTCATACTGGCTTTTGCTGCCATTTGTTTCTTTCCTTAAAGGTGAAATAGAGGCGAAAAAATCCAGTCAATGGATTCTAAGCCATCCTCCTCTTAGTTACCTCCCTGGGGCAGTGTGTTCTGGCTTATTCAATTAGCGGGGTTACCTGACTCAGGAGTAGACCTAGGCTGGCCCAAATCAGGCAAGATGGGATAAAGAGGCCAGAATGTGGGAACAAGTTCACGTCGGGCTTGCTGTCCTGCATCTTCATGAATCGTTGATTCCATTCATTCCTGGTGTTTCCTGTAAGGGACATGCGTGATTCTCCAAAAGAACTCCTCTTTCTGCCTCTTTGATAACATAAATTATTAAAACACCTAAGATTTTAAAGCACCCTAAGAATTAGTGATTGGCTACAAATCTTAAGAACAATCTTTTTAATACATTATTTTGGGGATGATAACTTAGAAATAGCAAGAATGAAATCTCACCACAGTTACGAGTTAATGACTCATTTTACATTTGTGAGACTAAAGACCTGGGAGAAACCTGTCCGTCTGGAACAGTCTGAAACTATTGCTGTGACAATAAACTAATAGCTGCTTCTACGTTGTTTCTGCCTGAAGCACTCTGTACTGTGAGCACTCAAATACTGACTGACACAGATTAAGATCAAGATCTAACTGCTAAAACAACAGCTTTCCTTGTATTTACTAACTGGCTAAGTATTTTAAGTAAACATTTTCATTTGCCTTTGGGGGGAAATAAGCCCAGGAATTATGCTTAATTCCAGCGTGATTTAGGAGGAAAGAGCCAGCCCATCTGCCCGCACTTGTTCACGCCCAGCAGTAGCAATGTGACCGCGTTCTTCAGCCTGCAGGAAGCCACACGGCATCCTCAGAGTGGGAGCCCCAAGCTCACCAGCTTAGTCTAGCAACTGAGAGAGCACAGAATGTGGTCCCCACAAAGCCAGCCTGGGCTGCCTCCGAAAACCACACCTTCAGTCCTAATTTAATTTTACAAAGTACTGTCACACAATCTTATTTTATAATCATCTTTTAGGGACATTTTTAAACCACTGGCTACAAAGAAAAGGGAACATTTACCATATGCCTACAGATACATTGGCCGTGTGCTTCGATATATTATTTAAACTGCTCAGATAATAGAATGGGGGATAAAGACCAAAGTTCAGTACTTGTCAGGGAGTTTGAGTTGTAATATTCAGATAGGAACTCAAGGTGGAAGTCAGAGCTAATGCTTTGTTAATCTATGACCACTTCTATAAGAATGTTTAGCTCTTCTAATTTTCTGAGAACTTTTCAGTTAGACTTAGTACAAAACAGTAGAGCAGACTAATTTTGTAGCAAGTACTTTATTAATACTGTTCCCTAACTACAATCCAGTAAAAGTAAAACAAATATTTAAGAAAACATTCACAGAGTTCTCCATAAAATTAACATTAAACGCTGACCATCTTGCTGGGGCTTAGAAATTCAGTTTCACACTGAAATACTTTACTGCATTTTGATCTTTAATCACAAAGGAGTAACCTTATTTTTTTTGTTTTTTTTATCCTCACCTGAGGACATTTCTCCAGTTTTTGTTCAGATAGAGTGGGAGGGAGAGAGAAAAAGAGAGAGAGAGAGAGAGAGAAACATCGACATGAAAGGGACACATCGAGTAGTTGCCACCCACACGACCCAACCAGGGCCGGGGACAAACTGCAACCGAGGTGGCCGCCCTTAGCGGGGACTGGACCACAGGCCAATGCTCTAACTGCTGAGCCAAACTGGCCAGGGCAGAGTAACCTTATTTTATAGCTCATAATTTTAATAGTTTTGGGGGTGAGGATTTTCTTATTCTGTGCCTTCAGTCAGGGTGTCCCAACGTTTTTCACATTCTGGCACATGTATAAAATGATAGGATTGTGCATTTGTAAGTGGCTGCAAGTAACCAGCCCAAGAGTAGCTTCCCTGAGGGGAGCAATTTCCAGCCCTGAGTGGAAGGTCTTGCTGCTAACCATCCCCCGGCTGTGTGCGCTGCTGCAAACTTGTGTTGAGTCCCCATGGCTCTAGCGAGGGCAGCATGGGCTACGTCACAGCACCATGAGTCAAAACTGGCTTTAAAAAACTTTTTTAGTCTTAGTGCAGTTTTCGCCTTCATTTCTTCTAAATGTCCCAGCCTAATCACGTCTGTAATATAAGCCTTGTTTCAACAGCAAGTCAGGACTTGGATACTGTATGTCCTATGCATAAGTGCACTGAAGCTGAAATACACCTGATAATGATCAATTTGGACAGTCTACGAGGTTTCCTGGAAACTTAACTAAAATAAAATCTTAAAAAGTAAACACCCTTCACTGAGGTGGTTTTTCTCGATTAGTTTGAATCCTATCTATAGTATGAAACCTGAGGGCTAGACAAACACAAGAATATTTTTTTTCCACTCAGTTCTTTGGGATTCTTCCTGGCCACCCTGATGAAGGCCCAGGGAAATGTAAATGCATTCCTATTTTTTCAAAATGCCAGTGCCCATTAACCTCAGTGGTGGTTGAAACGAGCAGTCTCATGGAAGGTACTTTTATGGCTGTAAATCTGACACCAGCATGGCAGCCTCTTCTACTTCAACCATGCCTACTCTGCTCTGAGAACACCATTAACATTCCCTTGTGGGTAACTGAAACGTGGCCATTAGACGTGGGTGAATCCAGAAAAGAGAGTCAAGATTTCTAGACGGAAAGCCTAAAGGAGAATAAAGACACCCAGACTGTTCTGCCTTTAAGAATCAGAGTGTTAAGGATGAGACCAGCTCACATTTTAATGACAAATAAGAGCTCATTAAGTTTGTTTTTAAGGCTTACCTTGAATGAGTAAAAATAAAAATCCCTCACACCTCAAGTTTACTCTGCAGCCAATAGCCTAAAATGCAATTTTAATCTCTCTTGCTCACATGATTTTTTTTCTTCTAACTTCTCCCAGTTGAGCCTGTATGACAGAAAAAACAATCAGTATTTCCCTTCATGCCCCTATCTCACCCCAGTAAAAAGCAGGAGGAAAAAATACACAGAATAAAACAGAATTGTATTAAACATTCACTTGTGTGTTATCGGGTGCATTTCATTCATTCTGGGACAGTCATAGGGAAAAAGACAGGCAAGTTGGTTTTCAGACTGTCTCACCACGACACTCTGATTGTGCTGGCAGTGCCCACGGCTTTGCCAGAAATACTTGGCCTGGAAAATTCCCCTAACGGAGGAGGTGCCTCAGCTGACAGCAGTGCAGGCCCTGGGCTCCTTCCTCAGGGCCAGCCCAGCACGGAGCTTTAGTTCGAGGTAGAGATGCCGCTGCTATTTCCCAGGTGAACAAGAAGCAGGTGCGTAGCCAGCACTCTCCTAAGAGTGGACTCTATTGTGTGGTGACAAGCTTCACAATTGTGCTGATGATCCGAGACCCTCGAGGACATGTACACAGATCTATGCTCGGGTTCTTGATCTTGTCCTGGAGGAGCTGGTCAAGTTCACACCGCAGCTCCTTCACCAGTTCAGCCACCTGGAGGGAAGATGCCAGGTAAGCAGTGCTTGGACCAGCAGGGGAGGGAAGGTTATTAGAGGAAACGCCCCAACTATGATTATCATTATTCTAGATTTCTGGTTTTAATTTTCTTTCTTTCTTTCTTTTTAGAGAGAGAGGAAGGGAGAGAGGGAGAGAGGTAGAAACATCGATGAGAGAGAACATCGATTGGCTGCCTCCTGCATGCCCCCCACTGGGGATATGGCCCACAACCTGGGCATGTGCCCTGACCGGGAATCACCAGGAATGGTGCAGGGTCAACGCTCAACCACTGAGCCACACCGGCTGGGCTGGTTTTAATTTTAACTTCATTAGTGGGGTGGGGGTGGGGTGGAAACTAAACACATTTTCATTCTAAAAGTGCTCCTAAAATTTCTTGATGCAACAATAGGAATATTCACTCAATGTGAGCTCTGTAATATACTAAATGGAGTCCAATATAAAATGGGTCCTCTATCACATCTCCGTTAAAGAGAAGATGAAATCTGAAAGAATGGCTTTTATGTAGTGTTCTCCATGTTAAAGCTTGGTCAACTATTATAATTTGCTCCAAGAAGAGAAGCAGGAAAATGGAGAATTAAAATGTTGGATATTAAACAAACAAAAAAATCTCTTAGCTTTGAGATACACTTTATGCTTTTGTGGGGAGAAATCAGTCCACATTTTTATGTCATTTTGCTTGTGCTGATTTAGTGGCACTGTAGATGTCTTCCCAACATCCGTTTTGCCTCTCTGCCGTCATTCGGCAACTGTGCAGTTTGGACCCTGATCTAAACCGAACAGGCTCATGCCATGAGCCTTGCCAGGGTGCATGGCTCAGATAATCCCAGCCTCAGAGTCCATGACATCCCTTTGGTCACAAGAATTGGTTTAGGAAGAGGAGGTTCAATGGAGCTTTTAGGAGAGAAGGTTTTGGTCTCCCCTTCTGGACAGTGTGCTGCAGGGGTCAGGCCACCTTGCAGGGGTCAGGCCACCTACTGCAGCCACCTTGCCACCACCAGGTTAGCCAGGCTGTAACTGACACTGAACTGCTGAATTAAATCAATCCTGCCTGGCTTTTGTGACCTGCACTGTCTAATAGGGCAGTCACTAGTCACATTTGGCTAATCTGATGACCACATGAAATGTGGCCAGTCCAAAGTGGGCTGTCCTGTGAATGTAAAATATATACCAGATTTTGAAGACGCAGTATAAAAAGAGAATGTAAAATATATCAATAAATTTTTATATTTATTGTTTTGAAATGAAAACCTCTTAGATGTATTAGGTTAAATAATATATATTATGAATAATTTTACCTCTTTTTTTTAATGTGGCTACTAGAAAAATTAAAATTACATAGTGGCTCACACACTTCTATTAGATTGTGCTGCTTTAGACTTCATGGTTAGATACACCATTAAATTCCCTTTAATGTCTGAGTTTGTTTCTTGCAACATAAGATTTCTAACAGATGCAACTGTTCAATATGTTTTATTTCTTAAACATATACTCCCCCTTAAATGTTTTCTAGACACATAGTACATAATTGAGGTCTAAGAATAAAATAATTCAGATCCATTACCTTCTTTTTCAATGGTAGTGGCAAACTCAGGGTGATTTTTATTTATTTTTTGCTCGTCTGTATTTTCTGTGTTTCTTTGGTGAAGACATTATTTGCATATCAGTTAGGAAGGGCCAACAGTCACTCGCAGCTCCCTCCTGAGCCTTTCACGCCAGCCCGTCCCGGGCGTCCCCCCACTGTACTGCCTGGAGTCTTACTAAGGCTCCACCCCGGCATCACTTCAGCCTCAGCCTTTCTTAGTGTCTCATTGCAGACCCATCATTCAATCTTTTTTTTTTTTAATCCTCATCCAAGGATATTTTTACATTTATCTTCAGATAGAGTGGAAGGGAGGGACAGAGAGAGAGAGACATCAGTGCGAGAGAGACACATCGACTGGTTGTTGCCCACATGACCCCGACGAGGGCCAAGGACTGAACCACAACTGAGGTACGTGCCCTTGACTGGAATTGAATCTGCGACTCTTTGGTCCACAGTCTGATGCTCTAACTGCTGAGCCAAACTGGCCAGGGTCCACCATTCATTCTTTTTAAAAAATTTTTTTTCTTTATTGATTTTTAGAGAGAGAGGAAGGGAGAGGGAGAGAGAGATAGAAATATTGATGCGAGAACATCAACTGGCTGCCTCCTGCATGCCTGCCACTGGGGATTTGGCCTACAACCTGGGCATGTGCCCTGACCGGGAATCGAACCAGCAACCTCTTGGTGCATGGGTCGATGCTCAACCACTGAGCCACACTGGCCGGGCAATCATTCATTCTTTTTTTTTTTTTAATCCTCACCCGAGGACATTTTTCCATTTTTTGTTCAGGTAGAGTGGGAGGGAGAGAGAGGAACAGAGAGAGAGAGGAAACATCGATGTGAAAGGAACACATCGAGTGGCTGCCACCCACACAACCGACCAGGGCCGGGGAAAAACTGCAACCGAGGTACATGCCCTTAGCGGGAACCGAACCCGGGTCTCTCAGGACCGCAGGCCGACGCTCTAACCGCTGAACCAAACCGGCCAGGGCCAATCATTCATTCTTAATCAGCTCTACTGTCCTTGGTCCCTGAAGGAATGCCCTATACTTCATATTATCAAAGCCCTTCATGGCTTGAGACTCATAGGATGGATCTGTCCTTACCTGATGGGAAGCAGCTGCAAAACGAATCCAACCATCATCCAAGGAGACAACGAACTCTCCCCTTTGAAGCTGCACATTCACTTGGCCTCCTCCGAACAAGACCAGTGGGTACACAGACACCATGCTGCAGTCTCGGATGAACACCCGACTAGTTTTGATCTTCTCGTGGTACAGCAGGTAGGGGCTGTCGAAATGTCTGACCTGCAGCATAAAACCTCAGATGATGACAGTGATGTCACTGGCAGCACAAGGGGACCCCCACCAGTCCCATGGATATAAATACCACCTGTTCAGTAACTTACAAAATTCTCACCAGCCTGTCCCTTTCCAGACTTGTACGTGCCACTACCTACTTGACATCTCCACTGGTGTATCTCATGAGCACGTCAAATTTATGTTCAAAAGGATTCTTGATTTCCCCTCCATGTAGTGTTGAGTAAACGACTCTCTCCTCCCCAAATTTAGGAGCGACCCTTGACTGTTCCTTCCCTCTCACTTCATCTGCCGCATCACTAAGGCCTGTCAGCTGTTTTCGAAACACATGGTGAACTGGTGTGTTTGCAGCACCCCTACAGCCACCCCGTGCGACCGCCACCACCTCACGCAGACCGTGGCGATGGCGTCCCCAGTGCTCACCGCTTTCCTTTCCGCATCGTTACCATTTCTTTTAAACACGCAACCACAGATCGTTTAAAAACATGAATCCAGTTAGGGCTCAAAAAGCTCCAGTGATTTACCAAAGGCAAAATCTCAGAGCCTGACCATGGCTGACAAGATCCCACATGACCTGACCGCTGGGTGCTGTCCCAACTCGTCCACCACCTTCGCCCCTCGTTACCCCGCTGCGCTGGCCCCGGCCGCCTTCTTGCACTTCTGGGAGCACACCAAGTAGGCCCCCGCTCCTGGTCTTCGTGCTTGTTTCCTTTGCTGGAATGGTCTCTCTTTAGGTCCCTGCATGGCTCGCCCTTCACTGCATTTAGGATTTGCTCAACAGTTTGCTCCTCTTCCCTGACCACTCCATGTAAAACAGCCCCCGTCTTGTCACTCTCGATCTCTCCGTTTGATTTTTCTTCAGAGCACGTCACCAAGCTAAGATTGTTCACTTATTTCTTGCCTGTCTTCCCCACTAGAACGTGTGCTCTCGGAGGGCGAGACCTTGTCTGTCTAGCTCATCCACTGTCCCCCGTGGCTCCAACAGCGCCTGGCAGAGAGGCGCTCACAGACACCGAGTGGATGCATGAATGACCTGTGTCCGTGGCATGAGAGCCACAGGACACCAAGAAGAGGAGAAGTGGAGCACACTTAGGCCTCTGCTTCCTAAATACACATGGCTAAGAGGGCAGATGACCTCGTGGTCCTCAAACGCTTCTGAGCTTAATTCAGGAGGTCCTGTCCATGCTTCATTGACACTTTACCAGCAGTTCCAGGGCCTGAGCAGCCCTGACACTTCCAACTCTCTTCCTCTAGTCTCCTTTCCTCTTTTCTCCTGGCAGCTTTATCAAGCACCTGCTTTCGGCTAGGCACCAGGCTAGACATCAAGGATGTAAAATGGAAACAGCTCCTATCTTCAGGAATCTCACAGTTCCAGGAAGGAGACCTACTCTAAACCATAAAATAACATGATATGCACACAGTGGCAAACGCATATGATATGATGGTGGAACAGAAGTAAAGAGCAACTTAGAGAGAACAGGACACTGGGGAAGTGGTACTTAAGGGAAGCTTGGAGGATAAGAGAATGTCATTCCAGGCTTGGAGAAGAGAGCGAGCTACGTCATGGCACTGGGGACACTGTTAGAATCTCGTATTGCTGGAGTACGGAGAACGACAGCAGGAGAGAGCTGAGGGGGACATGGTATAAGAAGGGCCAGACATGAAAGGTCATATGAGAGTTTGCAGTTGATGCCAGACAGAAAGAATTTTAAGCAAGGGAATGACACGATCAAATGCATGTTTTGTAAAGACAATTCGGCAGGAGTAGTGTAAAAGGTTGGAGAGAGAGAGAGTATCAGAAGTAAGAACAGCACTTCAGGCAAAAGACAGATGTTTGAGGTTGAGGAAATAGCAGTGGGGTAAGAGAAGTAGGCACATCTGAGACATGTCCAAAAGTGGAATTGTTGGGACCTGGAATCTGGTGACCAACTGGATTGAAGCAAAGAGAAACAGGGTCTATGTCACTCCAGGGTTCGGATTTGGATGGTGCCATTCATCAAGACAGGGGACAGAGAAAGAGAAGAGTGACTTGGGGGATAAGAAGCCTGATTTTTTTGCTTGTGAATGTGAGGTGACTAGATGGCATCCAGCTCAGAGAAAACCCAGGACTGGAGTGAGAGATCTGGGGGGTCTGTGCCAGCAGGTAGGTCACAGTCAGAACCATGACGCTGTGGCCTGGTGGTTCAGGAAGAGTATGTATACTATAGTGAGAAAGTAATAACTCTTAAGGGCAGAACCACTATTTCAGAGCAAAAAAAGAGAAACTAGCAAAGGAGACAGAGGAGGATGATCAGAGAGACAGAAAAACATTAGAAGCAAAACATCAAAGATAGCTTCAAGAGGAAGAGAGGTCAGCAATGTCAAGAACTGTGTGAGAGTCAGCCTGGAGGTTACTCCAGTAGCTGAAGGAGGAATGAGAGCTGAGGATGTGGGATCAGCAAGTACAGGCCACTGCCTTTCGAGGCACAGATTTAGTGATGCAAAGAAACAATTTTGCTAAAGGGATTAAGAAGTTCAAATTGGCCCTGGCTGGTTTGGCTCAGCAGTTAGAGTGTCAGCTCAAGGAACAAAGGGTCTCAGGTTCGATTCCTGGTCAAGGGCATGCACCAGGGTTGCAGGTTCAATCCCTGGCCCCTGTTGGGGTCGTGTGAGAGGTAACCAATTGATGTGTCTCTCTCACATTGATGTGTCTTTCTCTCCCTCCTTTCTCCCCCCTTCTTCCCTTCCACTCTATCTAAAAATCAAGGGACAATTGTACTCGCATGAGGATTAACAAAAAAAAAAGTTCAAATCAATGGTCACAAAATAATCAAGGGTATGTAGAGCACAGCATAGGAAATATAATCAATACTACTATAATAACTATATGTGGTGCAAGGTGGGTACTGGAATTTTGTTTGTTTGTTAATCCTCACCCAAGGATATTTTCCCACTGATTTTTTTTTTTTTTTTTAGATAGAGTGGAAGGGAGGAAGGGAGAGAAAAACATCGATGTCAGAGAGACACATTGATTGATTGCCTCCCACATGACCCTGACCAAGGCTGTGGATCAAACTTACAACCCAGGTACATGCCCTTGACCGGGAATCGAACCCGTGACCCTTCGGTCCACAGGCTGACAGTGTTTTAAAAAAAAATTTTTTTTTTCTTTATTGATTTTAGAGAGAGAGGAAGTGAGAGGGAGAGAAAGATAGAAATATTGATGAGAGAGAACATCGATTGGCCACCTCCTGCATGCCTGCCACTGGGGATCAGGCCCACAACCCGGGCATGTGTCCTGACCGGGAACTGAACCAGCGACCTCTTGGTGCATGGGTCAACACTCAACCACTGAGCCACACCAGCCGGGCCAGGCTGATACTCTTAACTGCTGAGCCAAACTGGCTAGGGCTGGAAATATTAAGGAAAACATTTTGTAAAGTATATGACTGTCTAACTACTAAGCTCTACACCTGAAAATAATATATAATAATACTGAATGTCACATGTAATTAAAAGTTTTGTTTTTTTTTTAATCCTCACCCGAGGACATTTTTTGATAGTTTGTTCAGATAGAGTGGGAGGGAGAGAGAGAGAGAAACATTGACGTGAAAGGGACACATCGAGTAGTTGCCACCCACACGACCCAACCAGGGCCGGGGACAAACTGCAACCGAGGTACGTGCCCTTAGCAGGAACCAAACCCGGGTCTCTCCAGACCACAGGCCAATGCTCTAACCCCTGAGCCAAACCGGCCAGGGCAAGTTTTTAAAAATTAAAACACAAAGCAAGAGCCCTGGCTGGTTTGGTTCAGCAGTTAGAGCGTCGCCCCGCGGTCTAGAGAGACCCAGGTTCGGTTCCTGCTAAGGGCATGTACCTCAGTTGCAGTTTGTCCCTGGCCTGAGTTGGGATTGTGCAGGAGGCAGCCACTCGATGTGTCCCCTTCACGTTGATGTTCTCTCTCTCCCCCTCTCTTCCTCTCTCTCCCTCCCATTCTATCTGAACAAAAATGGAAAAATGTCCTCGGGTGAGGATAAAAAAAAAAAATACAAAACAACATTTTATATCCAAAAGCAGGCTTGAACATTTTTTTTTGTATCCAGCAGAATTTTCTTGAAATGGAAAGTCTTTCCAGAAATAGTCCAATTTCCAGTCTGTTTGTTTACTCAATCTTCCCTGGGTCAGTGGTGCTGTTGGAAACAGTGAGTGACAGAACATGGTTTGGCTGAATTTAAGGGCTGACATTTCTCACCCCACCTGCCACATGTAAATGTTATGTACACCCTGCCATTCTGACCTGATAGTTCACTGATGAAGGGTGAATGTGCACATATCCATCGTTCTTGGTAACAAACTTCAGCTCATCTGATTTTGGTTGCATTTTGACAGCTCCGGTACTGGTCTTCTGAAATTTCCCTTCAGGGCTTTTCACCTAAACAATAAGTATTTGTTAAAATAGATAGATAATATGTATATTTCCACTGTAGGATGTATTTCTTGGCACAAAACCAGTCTTGTTTGAATGCCTTTGCTGTTTCTTCCCTCTCTCACTTAGTTTCCTTTTGAAAGTAGTATAAACATACTTAAAAAAATTTTTTTTTTAATCTTTATTAATTTGAGAGAGAAAGGGAGAGGGAGAGGCAGAAACATCTGTGAGAGAAAACATTGATTGGCCGCCTCCTGCATGCCCCCTACTGGGGATCAGGCCCACAACCTGGGCATGTGCCCTGACTGGGAACTGGCGAACTCTTGGTGCATGGGTCAACGCTCAACCACTGAGCCACACCGGCCGGGCAGTATAAGCATATTTCTTTCTTTTCTTTTCAAACAATTTCTTTTCAAGAAGTGTGACTCTAGGTGCAGTAGCACTGGGTGACTAAACCACAACCAGCCACACGGCAGAGAAACCATGTTGACATTTCAGGTCTGCACTAATTATCAGGTGCAGAGATCCAGCTGGTAATACTGGGCCAGGAATCTGCTATCAACCCCAATCCCACTTTTTCAAATGAATTTCTTTCAAAACAGCAATAAAACGTTTATTCTATAACTAGAAAAGAAAATTCTATGAATAAACAGATGATTCCATTTGGAAAAAAAACTGAAAAACTTATGTATACACACCCACATATATGAATTACATATATATTACAAAAACAATATATGTTTACTGTATAAATAGTAGTAGGAAAAAAGAAAATAATGACTTCCTGTAATCACACAATTAAGAAATAACTAGCATTAGTATTTGATATCATTTCAGTTTTCTCTGATAGATTTATGTTTATATATGTAGAAAACCATAAACACAATATAAATAAAAATACACATATGTACTGAAACTAATACAAGATTGTTTTCTATAAATATACTTTTTAAAACTTAATATATTGAAAACTTTTTCCATGTTTTAAAATATTTTTCTAAAAACATAACTCTTAAGGGCAATATAGTACCTCAGTGTAATGATCTATAATAATTTAACCAATCAACTCCCTATTATTAAAATTAAAGATTGTTCATTCTAGCAGTTTATAATTGCAAACATTCCCCTAGATGCATCTTTATGCATATATGTAATTATTTCCTAATAATAAATCCTTAGAAATGAAACTTATCTAGAAAGGATGTATCAGTTTTATTCCAACTAAGAGTGAGAGTGTTCATTTTGGGGTGGGGGGGCTTATGCCAGTATTATAATTTTTAAATTTTGTCACATTATAATCACCCCAAACCCATAGTTTACCTTAGGGTTCACTCTTGGTATTGTACATTCTGTGGGTTTGGGCAAATGTATAATGACATATATTCATCATTAGTATATCACTGCCCTAAAAATCTACTATACTCTGCCTATTCATCCTCCCTCAACCTGATTTTATTTTTGTCTCCACAGTTTTGTTCCAAATTATTATTATTATTTTTTTTTCTTTTTTATCCTCACCCGAGGACATTTTTTTTTTTTTTTTTGATATTTTGTTCAGATAGAGTGGGAGGGAGAGAGAGAGAGAGAAACATCGACGTGAAAGGGACACATCGAGTGGTTGCCACCCACACAACCCAACCAGGGCCGGGGACAAACTGCAACCGAGGTACATGCCCTTAGTGGGAACCGAACCTGGGACTCTCGGGACCGCAGGCCGATGCTCTAACCGCTGAGCCAAACCGGGCAGGGCCCAAATTATTTTTTAAAGTAAATTTCAAATGATTTGAAAAGCACGCAAGTTCTAAGCAAAAAATGAATCATAAATTAATCAATGGATGTCAACTGGGCATTTAACAAAAAGTTAAAAGAGAAATGATTCAATACTCTGACAAATTCAAATTCTAGGGTGACAGGACTAGATAACAGAAACTCAGATAAGAGCCCAATAAGGGGGTTTTCAGAAGGGGGTGGGCACAGGTGGTCCCATGGAAAAGCACCAACTTGTTTGATTTTGTTCTTCATCTAATTTTAGTCTGTGGCAGAGGGTATACGAGAAAATGCAGTATATTTAATCAAAAAGATTAAAGAAGCAATCCATTTTACACAATAAATGTTCTTGAACAATGCACCTAAACAGATGTAAGGAAATGAAGGATTAGAAATGTACACTAAGATTAAAAGGCTCTGTGTGTTTGTGTGCGTGTCTTTAAGATGATTAATGTGTAGGGCTTAACTTATATCCTTTGGCTACAAATGAAACTAGTAGTGGGAGAATTCAGGAAAAGCATTTTGTTACCTGAACTACATTTGGATACAGAGCAGCACACAGCATTGCTGATATCAGCTTGGGGTTCTCGGCATTTGAATTTGCCTGTGAGAGAAATGCAACATTAATTTTATACGTAATGTGGCTCCCTCTGCCTGTGCCCTGGGATTTACCATCACATGTCATTTGATTCCTGTCTTAAAATAGACGAAAGCATCTAACTCAGTGGTTCTCAACCTTCCTAATGCCGTGACCCTTTAATACAGTTCCTCATGTTGTGGTGACCCCCAACCATAAAATTATTTTTGTTGCTACTTCATAACTGTAATCTTGCTACTGTTATGTCTTAGGCGACCCCTGTGAAAGGGTCGTTTGACCCCCCCCAAAGGGGTTGCAACCCACAGGTTGAGAACTGCTGATAACTGCTACCCCATGCTAGAAAAAAATTTTTCTAAGTAAAAAATAGATCTATTGGAACACATTCACACAGGACCCACTCCAAGAAGCCTACAATATTCTTTCCAGATCTCTGCAACACAGTTACAAAGCCTGCGTTCCTAAGGATCAGTGGAGAGAAAAGTTCTGGTTCATGAGATGTTCACAATCTCTAGAAAGTACTAACTTCACTTGGAACAGAGAGGCATCAGTTTGTCTTGAAGAAGTGTTCTTCCTATAGTTATACATAAAAACTATCCTTGGCTGGGAAAAGGCTGTTCTGATTTAAGAAGACATTATTGGAAAGTCTATTTTACCTCTTATGGTCTTATAAAGAACCAGTGTGAAATTTAAGAAACAAAAACAGGCCCTGGCCAGTTTGGCTCAGTGGGTGGGGCATCAGCCCACAGACCAGTGAATCTTGGGTTTGATTCTGGTCAAGGGCATGTACCTTGGTTGTGGTTCAACCCTGGCCCTGGCCTGGGTCTTGCGGGAGACAACCAGACAATGTGTTTCTGTTACATTGATGTTTCTCTCTCTCCCACTCTATCTGAAGATAAACAGAAAAATATCTTCAGGTGAGGATTAAAAAATAAAAATCAAACAAACAAACAAACAAACACAACACTAGCAACAATTACCAGAAAATCCTTCTGCTTTTGAGTGTTCATGGACACTTACTTGTGGAAAGAAAACCAAGACTGCCACAAACCCAGGGCTCATTGGGCTTAAGTAAGTGAAGGATGCCTACAAGTGTCCCTGAGCTAAAATACTATTCATGAGCTAATTAAAGAGAAGTAATAAGTAATTACCTCTTCTCCTGTGGCTTCCAGGATACCATCTCCCCCTAGGGCCCTTTTCTCAATTTCCCTGGCTCTGAGTCCCTCCTTCACAAAGCCTATATCTGATAACAGTTCAGTGAATTGTCGTTTGAGGCTGGCCATTTCCTGAAAGAAGCGGAAAAAGTCTTTAAGTAGGGGCATCAACATATCAAGGGTAGGTGCAGACAGTCTTACAGTGATGAATGACACAGAAAAGTATACTTCAGTGGACAGTAATGAGGCTCATATGGGTTCATCAAACAGGTCATTTCCAAAAAGGCAATTTACACAGGCAGACAGTTACACAGAAATTCATAAACTAAGAAAACCCCAATGGTAATTTTTTTTACCTCTAGATTACATTTAAAAATCATGTTCATTGGATTTTGGGGTAGGTCTGACTTTCCTGGAAATTCTTAGGACAGCAATAAAATTTGGCTAACTTTCTTTGGGACCCTGACTCCAGGCGCTGTGACACTGACTAGATTTCCTCCCTGCATTCGGCTCAGGTCCTCTGAGAGCCTTACCTGAGCTCGAGTGCTTAGTTCTGCATTCACAATGCAGAGCACCCGGCTCAGAACCTTCCCTTTCTCTTACCTTGAGGGCTCGCTGGCTCACATCTTTTCCTATGAATAGGGACATTATTAAGTAGTTTAGATATAGACACTCCTTTTTGTAGTTGAGCACAAGTATGAGAAAGAAAAGCCCACCCTCTTTCTCTTCTGGCTTCTGTTCAACGATAGGCTGTACATCAAATAACAGAGATAAAGGGATCCAAGGAACTGAAAGCTAAGCAACACTTTTCCATCTCTTGATGACAATTTGAGTATTTTCTGAAACGTTCAAGTACATATGGATAACATGGCAAAATATAACTAGGAGTTAAATAGACCATAAATATGTAGTTTTAATTGGCATCTTAATAAAACTACTATAATCTAAGCTGTAGTTTAATGAAAAGAGGAAACTGTTTGGTGGACCTCATAGAGCACAGCAAAATCTACATATATCCTGGAAAAAAAAAAAAAAAAAAGAATAAATAAATTTAGTAAAAAATTTAAAAGAAATATGATTTTATACTTAAGTGACTGATGAAATATTTATTATTGCATTAAATATTTAATATTTATCAAATGCCCTTTACATTAATATTCTTCAACTCTTGCTGCGTATCAGAATCACTTAGTCAACCCAACAACAATGACAATAAACAGATGCCAAGGCCCCAGCCCTAGAGATCAGATGTAACTGCATGGGGTGGAACCTGGGCATTTTTACTTTTTTTTAAAGCCTCCTCAGGTGAATCTAATGTACAGCCAGGATAGAAAATTATTGCTCTCGGTATACTTAGAATAAAGTCAGAGCCTTTCTTTTCTCAAAATGTCTCACTGAAATACATCTAAAGGCCGATGAGAATGAAGGCAAATACTGGGATACATGCACTTATTCAATGAATCTTTACTGAGCATCAGCTGTGTGCTGAGCACGGTTGTAGACACTGGGATACAGTGTTGGACAAAACAGATAAGGTCTCTGCTCTGATGGAGCTTCTGGGATACAGATACAGATACATACATAAATGTCAGGTACTGGTAATACTAATAACATTAATTTTGTGTTCTACTCCAGGACATCATTTAATATGAAAGTAAAGTTATTCCCCTGCCAGCCTCAAAATATTTGAGTAAAATAGATGCGTTACAAAGATGTACACATTCAGTATTCGGCTTCTTCTACCACTTTGGAAGAACACTCACAACAGAGGGCAGAGGCCTGTCTGTTACTACACAGAAGATAAACCTTTTCTTTCCTGTGTACTCATTACTGACATAGTAGCCTCTGATGGACATAAGGAAAACAAAGAAGAGACATCTGGTTCAGTACTCATTCTTTCTTTTGGGGAAAGGATAAGGAGCTAGGGATGGTTATAGACCACTTTAAGAATCTGCTGAAAGCTAGGATTCCTTTCTCTTAGAATAAGGCACATATGTATAAGCATATTATTTTGCATACAGTTTCAGAGGTTTATGGATCCAGGTTAAGAATGACTGGTAAAATTAACGAAAAAACTGACTTCCAGTAACCTTCAGAGTCCCTATATCATCCCCCTATCCTCCACATAAGTAAACACAAGCTCACTGAACAGAGGAAAAGGTTTAGCACAGAAGGCGTGATGTCGTGCATAGTCAGTAGTGTTTCACACAGATGGTAAAACTGAGCATCTTCCAGAAATAACATTTTCGATGTCAAGGCAGGATGAGCAACATCAAGTTGCAACACCCTCTGACGTGCTACTACAATAGAAAATGAATGAGAACAAACTGCCCCAGAATTGACTCACCTGAAGAACTCTTCCTGACAAGAAGTTCTGTCTGCAGTAATTATAACTTGTACGCATACCTTCTTTCATACTTAGCTGCCATCCCTAAATTTTGAAGAAAATAAAAATGAACTTTCTCTGTCTTTAACACCAGTTCTGGAAATAAACCTCATCTCTTAGGTTGTATACTTACCTTGTATGCTCGTAGAAGGGCCAGATAATCACTGTTTGCAAATGCAAATTCTAACTTCTTCTGGTTAGCTTCTTCTTTTTTATCCCAGGGAGACACCTAAATGAGAACATCAGATTTGAAGGCCACATTTTACCTCCGGTTTCACATGAACTTTCCTCTTGCTGGAGCAAGGTGCTTGGGAAGTGTTTTGTGTGGCACAGAGTATCAGTGTGTAGGTGATTACAGGCAATTATGGTGATCACGAGCAAACTACCACTTATTTGTCCTTGTGAGTCTGTCTGCCCAACCAAAATAAGCTCTACTGGGTCTTTTAGTTCCTTCTGGCAAGATGTCATCAAAGAGCCACTCATTCTGAAAGCTAGATTTAAAATTTGAAATTCTAACTTTGCTAACACTTTCCTTTCTAGGAGGACCAGTGCGAAAAGGATTACATTTGGGAGATTAACACTATGTTTACAAAACCTAGGAAAGGATAGGGGCTTAGTTTAGGCAAAGGATGACATCACCATTTCTAATATTTCTATATTCTAATAAAACAAAACAGTCGGTGAGAGGTTTATTTAGATAATATGAGACAGAGATCCTACTCACAACAATACTGACCTATATGTCCCTGAGCAAGTTATATCACCTACTCTGGTCCTTGATTTTGTCATTTGTTGTAAACGAGGGAGTTGAACTAATATCTTTTCGCAGAACTATGTGTTTACAATTCCATGAAATATAACATTAAAACTGAAGAAAATGGATACATGTATCTATTCCCCTATCTGTCTGAGATAAGCCATGGTGAAAATAAGGGCAGAGTGACACTCTACCCAACAACAGCAGAATATCCATTCTAAAGTCCACATAAAATACTCTCCAGGGCAGACTATATGCTTGGCCATAATTCAAAGCTTAATAAGTTTTAAAGGACTGAAATAATATCAAGTATGTTCTCTGACCACAATAGAATAAAATTAGAAATCAATAATGGAAAAAAACAAAAACCTGGGAAACTCACAAGTGTGTAGATATTAAAGATCATGATGCCTAACTAACCAATTGGTCCCAGAAGAACTAAAAAGGGAAATCATAAAATACTTGAGATGAATGCCCTGGCCAGTTTTTCTCAGTGGTTAGAGCGTCAGCCCGCAGACCGAAGAGTCTTGAGTTTGGTTCCTGCTAAGGGCACATACTTTGGTTGCAGTTTGTCCTCGACCCCAGTTGGGGTCATGTGGGTGGCAGCCACTTGATGTGTCTCTCTCACGTTAATGTTTCTCTCTCTCTCTCTTCCCTTCTCTTCCTCCCACTCTATCTGAAGATAAATGCAAAAAAAGGGTCCTCAGGTGAGGATAATAAAATAAAAAATACTTGAGATGAATGAAAATGAAGATACAACATACCAAAACTTATGAAATGCAGTTAAAGCAGTCCTTAGAGGAAAATGTATAGCTGTAAGTATCCATATTAAAAAAGATCTCAAATCCTAACCTCCTACCGTAAGACACTAGAAAAAGAAGAGCAAACTAAACCTAAAGCAAACAGAAGGAAGGAAATAAAAATGAGCATAAATTAATAAAATAGAGAATAGAAAAACAATAAGGGAAATCAATTAAGTCAAAAGCTGGTTCTCTGGAAAGATCAGTAAAACTGACAAACCTTTAGCTAAACAGAAAAAAAAGAGAGAAGGCTCAAATTACTAGAATCAGAAATGAAAGAGGGGACGTTACTACCAACCTTTTAGAAATAAAAGAGACTACAAAGGAATACTATGAATAACTGTATGTTAACAAATTAGATAACTTAGATGAAATGAACAAATTCCTAGAAAAATACAAACCATCAAAACTGACTCAACAAGAAATAGACAATCTTATGAGACCTATAATAAGAGACTTAATTAGCAGTAAAATAACTACTCACAAAGAGAAGCCTAGGTGGCTTCACCACTGAATTCTACCAACCATTTAAAGAGAATTAATACTAATTCCTCACAAATTCTTTAAAAAAAGAAAAACAAAAAACACCCAGAAGAATAATTTTATGTGGCCAGTATTACTCTGATACCAAAGCCAGGCAAAGACATCCCAAGAAAACAAACACTATAGAGCAGTATCTCTTCTGAATATGGAAGTAACAATCCTCAACAAAATAACAAAAAAGACAAAGCTGGAGGACTCATACTTCCTAATTTCAAAACTTACTACAAAACTACAGTAATCAAGACAGTGTGGTACTTAACTGAAATAGAATTGAGTCCAGAAATAAGCCCATGTATCTATGGTCAATTGATTTTTGATAAGCATGCCAAGACCATTCAATAGGGAAAGAATAGTCTTTCAACAAATGGTGCTGCAACAACTGAATAGTCATGCAAAAGAATGACAATTAACTCAAAATAATCCAAAGACCATAATGTAAGAGCTAAAACTATAAAATTCTTAGAAAAAAAAAATAGAGGGATAAATCTTTATGACTTTGAATTTGGGAATACATTATTAACTAAGGCAATAAACAATGATAGAAATCGGACTTCATTGAAATTGAGATAGGTCTGTTTCAAAGGACCTATCAAGAATATGAAAAAGGTAACCCATGGAATAGGAGAAAGTATTTGCAAATCATTTCTAATAAGGGATGTGTATCCAGAATATATAATGAACTCTTACAACTCAATAATAAAAAGACAAATAACACAATTTAAAAATTGACGAAAAATCTGAGGAAACATTTCTTGAAAGAAGATATACAGCCCTGGCCAGTTTGGCTCAATGGTTAGAGTGTCGGCCCACGGACCAAAGAGTTGCGGGTTTGATTCCGGTCAAGGGTATATACCTTGGTTGCGGTTCGTCCCTGGCCCTGGTCAGGGTCCTGTGGGAGGCAACCACCTGACGTGTCTCTCTCACACTGATGTTTCTCTTTCTCTTCCCCTCCCTCCCACTCTATCTGAAGATAAACAGAAAAATATCCTCGGGTAAGGATTAAAAAAAAGGAAGAAGATATACAAATTGCCAATAAGCAAATTAATAGATGTTTAATATCATTAGCCAGAAGGGAAATAGAAATCAAAACCATAAATTCATATCCCTTGGGATGGTTATAACTAAAAAAGTCAGAGAAGCCCGGCCCGTGTGGCTCAGTGGTTGAGCATCAACCCATGCACCAGAAGGTTCGATTCCTGGTCAGGGCACATGCCCAGGTTGTGGGCCAAATCCCCAGTGGGGGCATGCAGGAGGTGGCCAATTGATATTCTCTCTCATTGATGTTTCTATCTCTCTCTCCCTTTCCCTTCCTCTCTCTCTAAAAATCAATAAAGAAAAAAATTAAAAATCAATAAATACATAAATAATTAAAATAAAAAAATCAGAGAATAACAAGCACTGGTAAGGATGTAGAGAAACTGCAACCTTGATAAAAGGCTGGTGGAAGGTAATATGCAGCTACTCTGAGAGTGTCTGGAAGTTTCCCAAAAAGTTTAAAATAGAGTTACCATTTAATCCAGTAATTTCACTCCTAGGTATATACCCATGACAACTAAAAATATAGGTCCATAGAGATAAAAACTTATACATGAATGTTTGTAGCCAAAGGTGGAAACAACTATCCATCAAGTACTGAATGCATAAACAAAATGTGGTATATCCATACAAAGGAATATTATTTGGCCATAAAAGGAATAAAGTACTAATGCATGCTGTAACATAGATGAATCTTTTTTTTTTTTATAGATGAATCTTAAAAGCATTATAATAAGTGAAGAAGTCAGTCACAAAAGACCATATATTATATTATTTCATCAATATGAAATGTCTAGAATAGGCAAACCTATGAAGAGAGAAAGTGGACTTATGGTTGTCTAGGGCTGGAGTGTATGGGGAGATTTGAAGGGAATTGGGGAGTAATAGTTATGGGGTCTCTTTATGAGGTGATAAAATATTCTAAAAATGCCCAGCTGGTGTGGCTCAGTGGTTGAGCATCGACCCATGCACCAAGAGGTCGCTGATTTGATTCCTGGTCAGGGCACATGCCCAGGTTGTGGGCCTGATCCCCAGTGAGGGGCATGTAGGAGGTGGCCGCTTAATGTTCTCTCTCATTGATGTTTCTATCTCTCTTTCCCTCTCCCTTCTTCTTTCTCTAAAATCAATAAAGAAATAAAATTTTTTTAATCTTTAAAAAAAATATTCTAAAACTGACTATGGTGATGTTTGCACAGTAGTAAAAACTACTGAATTGTACACTCTGGAAAAATTGTATTTCAATAAAGTTGTTTTAAAAAAGCACCTTTTACTTGTTTGCATTTTCTGATTTTTCTACAATGAGAAAGTATAGCAGATATAATTTAAAAAATTTAGATTATTTTAATAAATTGGAGCTTCAGTTCTTAATCTTTATTTGGGGTATAGATTCATATGAGGATTAGATAAAAGTTATAGACACTGTACCCTAAAAAATTTGCATACAACATATAAGAAAATTTTTAGGGGGTTCACATAACCCTGCAGCCCCCATGGTCCCCTTAGAGACCTATGGAAAGTTTAGATGCATGTTGTTTACTTACAAAAGGAGACTTAAAAGCCAAACTAGCAGCAATGGTGAGAGCAGGATCCAAACAGCGGAAGATAGACCCAAACAGCATCAGTTTGCCAATTCTCACATCCACAGGCAGAGAGGCCAAGTGATACCCTAGGGGGGTCAGTTTTTCATCTGGAGTTAATGCTCCCAAGTCTCGTAATCGTATTTTTGAGGCACGGAGGGAATCAGGATGTGGCGGTTCGATGAGCCGAGAGAACACAGATTGGAGATTATGAGTGCTAAACATCTCTAAAATTTTAATTCTGAAAAGAAAAAAAAAGGAATTTGACATTTATTTATAGTGGGATCATATCAATGAGTAAGCTTCTTTCTTGAATAAAAATAACGTATAATTTCCTAGATATATGCTTTCATAAACCAGACAATGCTAGTTTAAATTAAAAAAAAATCTTATGTCTTCTGGTTGTCCAGCAATAAATTGCAGAAACACTTTCAGATTCTGAAATTCATTGAGATTCAGAATAAAATTATTTTTATAAACTTTCAACATGCTTCTTTCTATAACAGTGGGATCAAATCATGAAATAAAATTAGAATGACTCACTCTCTTTCCCACATTTGAAACTGCATAGTAATTGTTTAATTGTTTACAAAATATGCATTGTGTCCTGCCTTTAGCAGCTCTTGAAAAGCTATTGTTTTAAATTATGAATTTAAGCAGTTTTAGAAGAGAAAAATCTAATAAATAGAAAATTTCTTTACTTCACTTATATAGGGTGGGGCAAAAGTAGGTTTATAGTTGTGAGAACACAAAACAAAGTTTATTCTTGTATTATTATTTATTTATTACTTATTGTATTACTTATTTGTATTATTTCCATTCGAACAACTATAAACCTACTTTGCCAACCCCCGTATTTCCTTTTTTAAGCTGTGAACCTATAAACATACAATTTTACATATTTACTAATGTGCACATATTTGGTACCTAGCTTTTTCCCACTTACATGACGTAGATGTTTCACTTTAACACATGCATTGACAGTAATCCACTTACATTTTGAATGTCAAAAAAGAAATGAACTATGTTGGCTTATATAACTTACCTATTTCCCCACTGTTGTATTTGAGTTGTTTTTAAATCATATGTGCTACATATATCACATTTCCCCTTCTCTCATCTTTCATCAGGGTCAATCAACTTCCAAAGCTCTCAAATCCCTTCACTGCTCTTTTGCACTGTTACCACCTTAGTTCAAGGCATCTGTTTGCCCAGTTTCTTAAGACCTGACCATGAACACCTGATAGCAGGGACTGTGTCTTGTGCCCTACAGTATCCCTAGTGCTTATCCCAACCCCTGGCAAATGGAAGGCTCTCAAAATAAATCTACTAGATAAAAGTAGAGCTATAACATCTTTGCACAAATCATATTTTTTCTTTGTGTTATTATTTTACAGGCATATTCCTTCAAAGTGATGATTAGGTCAAAGGACACGGACAGTTTTAGAGGTCTTGTAAATTTTCAGAAAGGTTGAACCATAGGTCCCCTAGTTTCAATAACATTGAGTTTGATCATTCATCCATTAAATTCCACTTTATGATACTTATTCTTATTTGTTCACCTGGTAAATAATGGTGTTTTCAATTAGTTTTTGTTCACTTTGCTCTAATTGATAATGAGGATGTAGATTTTTCCCTGTGATGATTTAGTACCGGTGGTACCTCTGACTTATTTCTTAATAAGTTAGATTACTTTTCTGATTTACAAATCTATTCTTTAGATCTATTTTAGCGCCATCCTCTACAATGTAAGAGATCTTTATGTGCAGAAAGTGCAGAAAGTTAAAAGGGCCCTGGCTGGTTTGGCTCAGTGCTTAGAACGTCGGCTTGCAGACCAATGAGTCAAGGGCACATACCTAGGTTGAGGTTTGTCCCCGGCCCTGGCTGGGTCGTGCGGAGGGCAACCAGTCGATGTGTCTCTCTCACATCAATGTTTCTCTCTCTCCCTCACTCCCACTCTATCTGATGACAGATGGAAAAATATCCTCAGGTGAGGATTAAAAAAAAAAAGGAAGTTAAAAGGAATAGTAAAGGCAACATTGAGGAGCTCTTTCTTTGCAAATGAACAAATTCATCTATGTCCACTCTTAGCGAAATGTCTCCTACTAAGAAAAAGAAAATATGGGTGTACCTTAGACAGAGCTGTTCCAATGGCACTCTCTGAATTTCTGGTAGCTGCTGCTTTAAAAGCTGGTGACTGAAGTGATGGCTAGTGAATAAATGGAAGCAGACCCCAGAAGCAACACGACCTGCTCGACCTTTTCTTTGCAGAGCATTGGCTTGAGAGACAAAAGTATCTTCGAGACTTTCCATCCCTTTGCTGGCATCATATCTTTAAAGAAAAAGAAAATGTGAAAAAAAGTTATTTTATAAAAACATGGCCAAGACTCTACTTAGCATGGACATATTAGATGAACCATCTCACTTCTGTAGAAGGACACAGTGTCCTCTGGGTTCTGTGATAGTTGAGTCCCCGGTGGGAGCATAGTACTAATTTAAAGGGTATCGAACACTACTACATAGTTTCTTTAACTCTTTTTATTTTAAAAAAAATGCTTTTTCATCTTTTATTTTGGACAAAAATTGTATATATTTAAGGTGTACAATGTGACATTTGGTGTATATAGATACTGAGAAATGATTCCAATATTAAAGTAATTAACACATATCAACTCCCATATCAACTTTTTCATTTAAACACATGTAAAGCATATGAAAAAAGAGGAAAACTAATTAATTACTTTCCAGATAAAACCTTAAACTTTCCATCTCTGTTTGACTTTAGGATTATGCTCTGGCTTTGGACTCACTCATATAGCCACACAGTTTTCATACAGTATTTTTCAAGCAGCAATCCATGTAGTTTAATAGCATTAGCATAAAGAGCTGTGTCACTCTAAATGAGGCATCTGTAGCCCCTCCTTTATTTTGCCAAGAGAAAATACCTCTTTTCTTTCATTTTCCCAGAATCGATGACATAGACAACATCATCGATGGTTATGGATGTCTCAGCAATGTTGGTGGAAATTATAATCTTAGTCACACCTACAGGAGGTTTTATAAACACAGCCTGCTGCTCTTCACTGGATAAAGATGAATGAAGTGGGTGAACAACACATCTGAAAGGCAATAAAAGCACAGTTAGTGTTCTAGCATAAAGCACTGGAATTGGATTAGAGCGGGTGAATTTCTATTTAACCATCACACCAAGTATCAGCAGCTTCTCGATCACCACCTGTGGAGAAGGGCCCAGCTCTTCTAAATAAGAAGGTTCTTTCTGATCCTTACAAAGTATTTACTCAGTTCTATGAACTAAAAACCTTGCATCAACTTGGGAAAAACTGGAGTGTAATTCAGTAGTAAATAATCAAGAGGACTAAATAGCTGACATTCTACAAGTAACAGACCTAGAGCACACTAACAAGCAAACAATTATTTTTTCCCTACCTTTATTTTTTTTTTATCCTCACCCGAGGACATTTTTCAATATTTTGTTCAGATAGAGTGGGAGGGAGAAAGAGAGAGAGAAACATCAACGTGAAAGGGACACATCGAGTGGTTGCTACCCACACGACCCAACCAGGGCTGGGGACAAACTGCAACCGAGGCACGTGCCCTTAGCGGGAACCGAACCCGGGTCTCTCTGGTCTGCAGGCTGATGCTCTAACCGCTGAGCAAAACCGGCCAGGGCATTTTTTCTCTACCTTTAAATCCAGAGAAAGAGAAGCAGAGACAGTATGTATACTAAGAAATTTCATTCTTATATTTCTGGGGAGTGTTCATTTGTCAAGTAGTCATCTTCCTCAATATGAAGACACACCCAATGTTTCTTGCCACCAGAAGAGAAACCATTAAAAATTATTTTTTCTCGAAATGGTCGTATTTCTTTGTTGTTACTAACATTGGCTTCTACTATCCTTTATACCTGGCAACTGAAATTACATGCAGTTTTGCTGAGTCACTATGCTAAGTGAAGAGAAATATTTTTATTTTATGGAATGGGAATGATTGACTTCTTAGAACAAATAGGTCTATTTCCAGCTGGCATAAACAAACATATTCTTGAGGAATGACACTAGAATCGAAAGAGGGTGATTGATGACTGTAAAAAAAGACCTTTCTGGTTACTTATCTTTGCATATAACTGCAAGATGATTGAGGATACAGAAAGCAAGCAACTTACCGATTACTACGTCTGTTGTTGAAAAGAGAATTAGACTGTAGCTGTTCATAAAGCATTTTGATTTCTGCCAATCCTGGTAAAAATACAAGTATAGCACCTGGATATATAAAAAAAAAAATCAATTTGATAGATGCAAAAAAGAAAAAAACTAACAGATTATAACGCTATTTTAAATGAAAAAAAAGTAATAATCTGAGATTTTTCACTTTCAATTTTCTTTATAAAGTCCCCAAGAATTTAATAGATAACAAACTTTAAAAACATATTTTCTGACTTAATTACTACAAAATGAATGAGATATTATTATCTTCCTACAACAGGAAAAAAGGAAGTGTAGAAAAATATAATGCCTTAAGTTATACAAGCATCATTAGCAAAGCTCTCCTTTTTAAAAAATTATGTTTTTATTGATTTTTTTAGAGAGAGAGGAAGGGAGAGATAGAAACGTCGATTTGAGAAGAAACCATCAATCAGCTGTCTCTTGCACACCCCCTACAGGGGATTGAGCCCGTAATCCGAGCACGTGCCCTGACCGGGAATCAGACCAGGACCTCTCAGTCCATGGGATGATGCTCAATCCACTGAACCACACTGACCAGGCTAGCAAAGCTCTTTACACATATTTCTTCAGTGCACTGGCTGCTGACATTTCTATAGGAAGATCAGCCTTTTAGTCTGAAAGACTCTTCTATTACTAAAATAAGTCCAGAAACATTTGAAACATTTGACTGAAAACAAGGCAAAGAAACTACAATTGGCTGGCCAACCTGGTAATCTAAACTCAGACATATGTTGAAAACGTAGCACATTAACTAACTATGCCATTTAATGGTTTATGGGCTTTTTTTTAAAAACCTCACTGGAAGATACATTTCATTGATTATTTGGGGGGGGGGGGGACATTGATGGGTTGCCTTATGTACACGCCCCAACCGGGGATCCAACTCGAAACCTATGTATGTGCCCTGACTGTGAATCCATGGGATGACACTCCAACCAACTGAGCCACACTGGCCAGGGCAGTTTATGAGCTTTTAAATTTTACATGAAAGAAAATCAATAGTGATAACTGATTATAGTGTATTTCTGTGCCAAGAACGACCACTCAGTAATAGTTACCTTCTTCTGTGCTTTGTTCAGAGAGGAAATTGGCACACATCTTTTTTTTTTTAAATATGTTTTTATTGATTTTAGAGAGAGGGAGGAAGGGAGATGTGCCCTGACTGGGAATCTCACTGGTGACGTCTTGATGCATGGGACAACACCCAACCAACTGCACCACACAGGCCAGGGCTTGGCACACATCTTTAACCTCACAAATATTTATTGGGTACCTATGTTACCTCTGTGCTAGGTACAATGAAATATAAAACAAAGATCTGCCCATAAGGAACTCATGACCTGTTATTTATCACAGTTATTCTTCCCACTAAATAAATAAGGAAACTAAATTATAAAAATTAAACTATGAAGAAGGGCAAAAGGAATGTTTCAGAGTTGGTTTTAATACTTCACAGTATACAAAGCATGTTTCACATACATTATCTCTCATTTGATCCTTGCAGCCACCTATTAAGAAGGTAATTAGTGCCCTCAAAGTGATTCTGCGACTTGACCAGGTCACAGAGTTAGTAAGAGTGGAGCTTGACACAAACCTAGGGTTTCTGGCATCAGATTCAAGCTCTTTCCATTACATACTGCATGCTCTTCCCTACTAAAATACCACAACATTCCAGAGTGGTGCTACAAATCTATATGGAGGGAAGAAAATATTTTGTCTATATTTTTATGTCTTCTGATCTGTTCTGCCCTCACGGCTTAGCCATCTGTTTCAGAGATATCTGTAATATTCACAAATATATCACTGACTCCCTAATCACTACTTCTACTCGGCTTTGAATGCAGGTAATTTTTTAACATTTCTTTTTGTCTGCTATTCTTAATTTTTTCCAATAATAGTCTTTTCCGTTAAAAACAAGATATTAAGTCCAATGATAATGCATTAACCAATATTGCCTACTTGCCAAGGGATGAGAAACAAGGCAGTTCAGTATTTTTATGTGGCTCACACATCTCTAAAAAATACACAAAATGATTAAAATCTAAGCAGAGGAGGGTAGTCACTCCCATTTCTCTTACACTGTAATGAGCACATAATGTAATTGTTTTATCTAGTATTCAACTTAATGATCACTCAATATTGGCTGCATCTATTCATGCAACAAATATATACTCCACCTAAATATTCCAGACACTGTTCTAGGGTCTCAGGAATACAGTGGTGCACAAGAAATCCTATTCTTAAGGAGCTTATATTCTATTGAAGGAAACTGTCAGTAAGCAGAACTGTAATTTTGGATAATGTTAAGTGCTATAATGAAAGTAAAACTCATTTTTGAATATTATGATGGAGTGGGGTAGCAAGACAACAGATAAGGAGAAGACATTTCTCTGAAGAAAAGGCATTTAACACATTTGACAAAAACCTGAATGATATGAAGGATTCAGTTATGAGAAGATCTGGTCCATTCATTCTGGGGATAAGGGACTGCAAGTGATGTAAAGAAGCCACTGGGATGGGAAGAGAGTGAGTGAGAGGAAAGTAGTTATTGCATTGTGTTTTATAAGCAGTAGCAGTAACAGTGATGATAATAACGATAAGTATAATTATAATATTATCACTATTAGGGGTAGTATCAACTTGGCATTAACTATATGCCAGGCACTGTGCTAAGTGCTTTACAAATGGTTTCTTTTAATCATCAAAATAGCTTTACCTAAGAGGATGTATTAGTGTCTTCATTTTACAAACAAGGAAACTGAGGCATAGGAAAAAAGGATAAGGACTTTATCCAAGGTTACGGAGTTCCTGAGTAGCAGAGCTGGGCAGTTTATCAGACTCTAAAGTTGTTCTCTTAACACCAACGCCCCATAGCCTCCATGTGCAAAGTCTTCATGGGACTCAAACACTCATTACTAGGCTCCCACTGAGCCACAGATCATCCAAGCCTTCTTTTCAGCTTTCTTCCTTTGGGACTTTGTATTGTTAACATCTTTTTATTCAGTGTGAGCAGTGTAGAGCAAAAAAAGTGAGTGGTCCTCAAAAGGTAAAAGGTAAAATTTCCCCCCAAAAGCCTAATAAGCAACTTTATATATAACTGGGGTGGGAGCAAGGGCTCCCCACAGTGCCCACAATCTCAGGAAGTAAGCTCCCTTCCCTTTTGCCATCTCACATATAAATAGAGACCAGAAGCAGTTACCTGGGGGGTAGGAGTGCTTTCCACCTACAATCCATTCTAACAAGGCCTCTATTAATTCAAGATTAACCTTTTCAAAATCCATGACGGACATTGTTTTGATGACTGATTTGCTAACCCCTGAAAGAAAGGTAAAAATCAGAAGGATAATTATTTATACATTATTGAACACAATATGCCTGGGAATGAGGTGTCTTGATGTGATTTAATAACACAGATATTAACATTTAATGTACTAAAATGAATTTTTTCTTTCAGTCTCTCAGAACATACAAACTCATTCAAAGCCCTTTTTTTTTTTTAATCCTCAACTGAGGATATATTTGTTTTTATCCTCACCCAAGGACATTTTTCCATATTTTGTTCAGATAGAGTGGGAGGGAGAGAGAGAGAAACATCGACATATCAAAGTGGTTGCCACCCACATGACCCAACCAGGGCCAGGGACAAACTGCAACCGAGGTACGCGCCCTTAGCGGGAACTGAACCCAGGTCTCTCCAGACTGCAGGCCGATGCTCTAACCGCTGAGCCAAACCGGCCAGGGCGATATGTTTTTTTTAAATATATTTTTTCTTTATTGATTTTAGAGAGAGAGGAAAGGAAAGGGAGAGAGAGATAGAAACACTGATGAGAGAGATCATTGATTGGCTGCCTCCTGCATGCCCCCCACTGGGGATCGGGCCCACAACCTGGGCATGTGCCCTGACTGGGAATCGAACCAGTGACCTCTTGGTGCATGGGTCGATGCTCAACCAGTGAGCCACACTGGCCAGGTGATATGTTGTTGCTTTTTTTTTATTGATTTTGGAGAGAGAGGAGGGGTGGGGAGAGAGAAACATCGATGTGAGAGAAACATCAATCAGTTGCCTACCATACGCCTGGGGACCGAACTTACCCTCAAAAGGTTCAGGAAAAAAAATCTATACATGTACACACAGCAAATGATAAACAAATGAAACAAAATAATAACACTGGTGAATTGGGGTAAAGGATATAGAGGTTCACTGCACAGTCTTATAAACTTTAATTTGGAATTTGAAATCATATCAAATAAAAATTATAAAATATTCAAAAATATCATTTATATTTTACTACCTCCCAATTTTTCTATAATGAACATATTTCTTTTAAAATCAGAAAGAACCCATTGATAAATATAATAACAATAATAATATAATATGCATTGGAACTGTTCTTTTTCTAAGTTTAAGGTTGTTCTGTGAATTAAAGACAATGTAACTATAAAGCCACATCTTTCTTCTTCATGATCATGGTGGGGGAAAAAAACTATCGTTGACCCTAAACATTCTGGGGGTTAGGGCTGCTGATACTTCTGCGCAGTCGAAAATCTGCTTATAACTTTTGACACCCTCAAAACTTAACTACTAATAGCCTACTGTTGACCAGAAGCCTAACCAATAAAATAAACAGTCAATAACATATTTTGTATGTTACATGTATTATATGCTGTATTCTCACAATAAAATAAGTTAGAGAAAATGTTATTTAGAAAATCATAAGAAAGAGAAAAATACATTTATAGTATTTATTTTTACAAATACGCATATAAGTGGACTTGCATAATTCACACATGTGTGGTTCAAGGTCAGCTGTAGTTATCTTTGGCACAACTGTAATATCCCCCCAGGAAGCACATTACCTTTATAGCGGGCCAAGAGCTGCTTAAAATCTAACTGTTGGTCTGGCACTGCATCTTTGACAGAATCCTGATCCTGGATGTGCAGGCCAAGCCTCAGGTCTTCCTCTACCTCTTCAAACGCAGTTCTGTTGCGCCTTGCTTTAAGCTTCTCCTTTGCCATCTGTTTCATGGAGCGCATATATGGGCTCCCATCCTGTAATACATACCTGAGGAAGGAAGACAAAGAAATGTGTCTGGGTATATGTGGGTCTGCTGGCGAATGAAAACATTTACCTATTGTATGTGCTCATTCAGCAGAATGCAGCTGTTTCTGATTATTGTGCTATTCTTCCACCAGTCCAGGATTCTGCTTGTGGTGCCCTATTTCTGGTGGGGAACACACTGGAATGCTTTGGGCTCTATTTTAAGGTAATTCTAGAGGCAATGACTTTTAAAAAGTAAAAGAATAAAGACAGGTAAACTAGCTGAAAGATAGTTTCTTCAGATTCACATTCAATGGAAGTTGAATAGGACCCAGAAAATCACAGTTTTAATAAGCTCCCTAAGTATGCTTATTGCACACTAAAGTTTGAGAGCCATTGTTTTTGGATTTTTGGTTTGAGAATATGGTTCCATAAAATAAATATAGAATTAGGAAATGGGTTTATTAGGAAGGAAAGGAACAAGGAAAAGGAGAAAAATTCTGAGTTGAGTGTAAGGTGCCAGACATCAAGGTATTTTCACTTGGGAGCTCAGGCGTCAGGTACAGAGGTGACAGCTGAAATCACACAAGTCTAAGAGAGTTAAGAAAGAGTTTAATAGGGAGGAGAAACAGTGCAAGGATTAAACCTTGGGGAATCTTCAGGGTTAAAGAGTAGGAAGAGGATGCAGAGCTTTCAAAGTAGAGAAATCTGTACCCAATAGACATTACCACTTTCCACCCAGCACTAAAATTATATAGACATCTCAACACTCAAACTATACTGCAACTTCTTGAGTTAGAATGATGATGATAATAATGGCAAACATTTATAAAGTACTTACTTTGTATCTCCCAGGCACAGTCTAAGCACTTTGCAAATATTAACGCCAAGTATTAATTAATTCATTAATCCTCATAACAACCCTGTGAAGCAGCTTCTATTAATACATATTTTACATATGATAAAACTGAGTCACACCTCGCTGGTGTGGCTCAGTGGTTGAGCGTAGACCCATGCACCAAGAGTTTGCCGTGTTGATTCCCCATCAGGGCACATGCCCAGGTTGTGGGACCGATCCCCAAAGTGGGGCATGCAGAAGGCGGCCAATTGATCTCTCTCACCGATGTTTTTCTCTCTCTCTCCCTCCTTTCTTCTCTCTCTAAAATCAATAAAGAAAAAATAATTTAAAAAAACAAACGGAGTCACAAAAAGGTTAAGCTACTCACTAATGTTACAGTTAGAAAGCAGAGGGATTTAAATACTGGCTGTCTGTCTGAGAATCAGTCTTTTTTTTTTTTTTCATGTTAAATTCTCCATACATTTGGTCCTTCATCATTTTTTAAAATAGACTTCATTGCCCTGGCCGGTTTTGCTCAGCGGTTAGAGCGTCGGCCTGTGGTCCCGAGAGACCCGGGTTCGGTTCCCGCTAAGGGCACGTACCTCGGTTGCAGATTGTCCCTGGCCCTGGTTGGTCGTGCGGGTGGCAGCCACTCGATGTGTCCCTTCACGTCGATGTTTCTCTCTCTCTCTCTTCCTCTCTCTCCTTCCCACTCTATCTGAACAGAAAATGTCCTCGGGTGAGGATAAAAAAAATAAAATAAAATAAAATAAAATAGACTTCATTTTTTAGAGCAATATTGAGCAGAAGGAACAGAGATTTCCCATATACCCTTCTCCCTCACACGTGCACAGCCACCCCCTCATCAACACCCACAACAGCATGTACACTTGCTACAAGTGATGAACCTGCACGACACATCATGATCACCCAAAGTCCACGGTTTGCACTAGGACTCCAGAGTCAGTAATCTTAAGATACAACACTGCCGACAAATTGCAAATAATTTAATAAATATTTGCTGAAAGAAAGGGGAAAACAAAATCCTCAAATAGAAACATTAGAAGACAAACTAACACCTTTATTAGTATCCCCACAATCTGAGGGAAAATAATAATTCTGTTTTCAAAGACTTCACCAAACCTTAATTAATGTCTTCCTTACCTTGTCACAGCAATTGCATCTTCCAGAAAAAACTGATCAACAGGAAACGTACGACCTGGAAAAATAAATAAAATAGAAAATAAATAAAATAAAATAGGAAAGCCTCAAAATATCTGTTGAACTATCCTAAAACAGTTTACATATGCAAAATTATCTTAAAACAAAGCTTAGCACAATAAGGCATTATTTGTTTTGTGGTCTTAAAAGTATCAAAAATTTAAAAAAAGCTTTTGATGATAGCAATTGGAAGGGGGGTGGATTCCAGTTTGCGAAGAAAAAAAAAAGTGTACAGGTGAAGAGATCATTTGCTAATAAAACATTTTACCTTTATAAAAAATTTTGTTATGGCCCTGGCCGGTTTTGCTCAGAGGTTAGAGCGTCCGCCTGCGGTCCGGAGAGACCCGGGTTCGGTTCCCGCTAAGGGCATGTACCTCGGTTGTAGTTTGTCCCCGGCCCTGGTTGGTCATGCGGGTGGCAGCCACTAGATGTGTCCCTTTCACATCGATGTTTCTCTCTCTCTCTCTTCCTCTCTCTCCCTCCCACTCTGTCTGTACAAAAAATGGAAAAATGTCCTCGAATGAGGATAAAAAAAAAAAATTCTGTTATACTTTTCCCACCCTCCCCTTCTTCCCCCACAGTGGACCTTTAAAGATTCAACAGTCATTCTCTAGACAAGTATATAATTTCTTCTTTAAGTCTACTGTCAATATGCTCTATAGCTAGACTAAAGGACTATTACTCGTCAGCCAGTGCTTCCCAATTGTCCCTTGGAATCAACTGCAGAAGGATAAACTGGAGCCCCAGGTGATAAATTTAATCACACAATGAGATTGTGAAAAGCACCAAAAGCAGACACAGGCTACCCAACTTCACCTTCTCTCAAAATGGACCAATATCCAGGAATTTAGCAGAATTCAGCAATGAACAAATACATGTTTCACAGATACAACTTCCTCCTTTATGACAGATTACCATTATAAACTCACATTTTTAGGTTAAACACGATGGAATGCTAGAAACATTAATAACCTCGACTTTTCAAAATAGCACATATAAAATTAAAATCTCCTAGTAAACGGACAGAATGTTGCCTCTTTATTAATGTCATTACAAGGCTATAATCTTGTTATATACTAATTACTTCTTCTCTAGAAAGAGGAACAAATACCTATGAATTTTATATCTCAGTATAACTTTAAAATAATTTCATTTGCTTATTAGAACAATACACATTTAATGATGCATTTAAATCACCTGGTATAGTAATAACTGGGCAGGAATTGAAATACTCTGAAAAGAGCTCCGCGTTTAAAGTTGCACTCATCAAAATAACTTGGAGAGTTGGTCTCTGCAACACAATGTCTTTCAAAACTAGCAACAAGAAGTCACTAGAGGAAATAAAAGAAACACTGAGGATCACACAAATTCAATGAATGAGAATGAATAACTTCATATATTTTAAGCAAGGAATGTGTAAGACCTATGTGAAAACAATTATAATGTTCATACAAAAATGTTTTATGTTCCCAGATGTGAGGACTTAATATTAAAAATATATCAATTTCACCCCAAATAAACTAAATTCAGTGTAATACCAATCAGAATACCAATAGGATTTATCATTGTATTTTATAATTCTATTTCCTGAAATCTACATATACATAAAGAGGCATATATGAAGATGTTCATTATGGCATCATTTGTAGTAGTAAAACAATGGAAACTATCTAAATGTCCACCAACCAATGGTCAATTATAACAATATTCCGTTCTGAGGAATAATGTGAGGCAGATAAAAAGAATAAGGTAGAATTCTAGATACTGACATGAAAATATCTCTATGACAATGTTAGTGAATAAAATCCAAGTTGTAGAACAATATGTACTATAGAATAGCAATATCCTAAATGGTCTCCCTGCTTCAGCCCTTGCCCTTTCAAATCTATTCTCAATACGGCAGGCCAATAATTCTGTTCAAATGCAAACCTGATTGTACTACCCTTCTGCCCACAATCCTTCAAAGACTTATTGATGTCCTCACTAACAAGGCCCTATGTGACATGATCTATAACCCCACCATTCATTTCCTACTCCTCTCCCACTTATTCACTTAGCTCCAGTCATACTGTCCTCCTTATTGACCTCAGGTCCTTTGTAAATGTTATTAATCTGCCTGGAATTCACAGACGTATCTCCTTCACTTCCTTCAAGTCTTTACTCAAAACTTACCTTTTCAGCCAGGCCTTCCCTAACCACCCTATTTAAATTTTCAAATGCTCCCCTCCCCTCCATTTCATATTACCTTTTCTTAGTACTTAACATCTCTATAGTTTACTTATTTATCTGACTTATTGTTGGGTTCTCCCCCTAGAATATAAGCTGTATAAAGATAGGGATTTTGGTTATTGTTTTCACTACTGCAGTATCTAGAACAATGCTTGGGATATAGGTTGATAAATATTTGTTGACTTACTAATGAATATATCATTTGTATAAGAAAAAAGGTCAGAAAATAAACTACCTATTTCTAACAAAGTAAGCATACGTCATGTATAGAAGGATATATCACCAGTCTACGGTAGATATCTTTGGGGACGGGACTTGGAATGGTTTGGGAGTGTTAAGGGGGATTTTTACTTTATCTGTACTGTTTGAATATTTAATGAAAGCATATTGTTGTATTACTTAGTCCTTCTTAATTAAATGATCTAATTTATTTGCATTTATGATTCCTTTTTTGTTTTTTAGGTAACAGGAAAGTAATATGACAATAGGCAAATGCTTCAATAACTTATGGTACATCCATACTTTAGAATTTCCTTATGCAATTATTAATAGTAATTTCCAAATATAGTTCATGCTATTAGATCAAAAGCATCACAAAAAATTATATAATCCTAATTGTGTTTGTGGAGACACGTATCTCTCTCTACTATATTTCTCCCCTAATTCCCAATACACTGCCGAAAGGAAACAGACCAAAACTGTACCATGTAATTAGCAATTTCATAGGGGAAAGAAATTATTTTTCTTGACATTTCTTTAATATTTTCTCAATGTTTTAGAATAACCATGTTTCTATATCTATTACCAAGAAATTTATTAAACATTTTAAATGAACACAACTTAATATTTTTTCTATATTCAACCTTTAACCTTTGGTACATTTTTACTGATCTTAGGTCCTAGGTTTTCCTATTTTACTATTTTTCAATTTGAGCTAGCAAATATTTCCCTACTTTTTCTTGTAATTTGTGCACTCCTTTTCCAAAGACGGGTATTTGTAAATGCCAGGGTCTGTAATACTAAAAATGCCAGGAGAGTACATGTTCATCATTAAAAGAGTCATCCTGTTACATGGACATCATGTAATAAGAGATACTTAACACCTCCTGGTGTCATGCTCAGCTGGGCACTGTACTTAGCAGGAACAACAGATGTAATGCATGCTGTAGCTGGTGGGTTTGGTTAATATGGACTTCATTTGGTCATTCATTCAGTCCTGACATTCATTTATATTTTTATGGAGGCTGTATAAGTGCTCCCTTCTCGGGTATGTAATTTCTCTTTATTCAGATATGAATATATTTTGAATTTTTAACTGTTGATATGTCATTAGGTTTCATAAAAATCTTTTGAGAACACTACTGGAGCCAAAAACCACATCCAGTGCTATGATCCAGTTTCTCTGAGTTTGTGAAAGAATAAATGTTATGAAACCCAAAGCTATTCATTATATTCAAAATTACACTGGGTATAATTTCCCCTAAAATTTTAAATGTATTTATTTATTTATTTAAAAATATGTTTTCATTGATTTTTTAGGGAGATAGGAAGGGAGAGAGAAACAGCAATGTGAGAGATACATCAATCAGCTGCCTCCTGCACACCCCCTACGGTGGAGCCCACAACCTGGGCATGTGCCCTGACCGGGAATCGAACGGGGACCTCCCAGTCTATGGGACAATGCTCAATCCACTGAGCCACACCAGCGGGTTTACATTTATTTTTATAATACAATTATTTAAATATTATTAGTCTGGTTGAATGTTTTATTTTATTTCCTTTTTCAAGTTGTTCAGTGATTCTGTGAAAAATGTTTCATCCTTTACATGTTCATTTAAACAGCTGCAAAATAATGCTATTCACCACTCTCCCCGCCCAACACAGTTTTCTGGAGTCTCTATAGTAAGATTATTTGCCCTGCAAAGGTTCTCAGTGTTTTGTTTATAGTCATTTAAAATGTATTATTGTCTTGTTCTAGGAATTAGTTCTTTTTACTTTGATCTATTCTTTTTATATGAAAGTCTACTTTTGTTTAGTTTCTAAACACTTCACATATCCTATTTAGTCATATATTAGTGTATTTATTTTTTTTTAACAAATAATCTTCTGGTCATATGTCTTCCCTGTTCATTTATTAAAAACTTTTTATCAACAGTAACTGGGGCCTCTTTTCATATTTGCTGTTTGCTTCTTTTTTCAGTGTTGCTATTACCTATTTTCTGCTTGTGTCAGTTCACCAACTTTACTTAGACGTTCCTCTTCTATAGATAATTATAATAGTATAGTCCTTGTTGGGAAAACCTCATGATTTTCACGGGATCATCTTTTTCCCAATAATTTTTTTTTACTGTTCCAGAGCATGATCCATATGACAAACTATAATTAATGCCATTTGTTTATCTGGCCCTTCCTTTTAAAATATTGATAATTTTGATTTTATACCTCAACCCTTTAATGCCTTCTAATTCTATTTAAATAAAGTCCAAATGCTTCACTATCCATGATGTACAAGGTCCTGGAACATCTGGCCCCTGCTTCTCCTATCTGCCACTTTTCCTGTCATTGACTACACACCAGCTGCACTGGTCTTCCTCTCATTTCTGGACTCTGATGCAGCCCCTCCCACTGCAGTCTTTGCAAATGCTGGCCTTGCCCCCATTTGTCATGTAAGACTCCTTCTCAGACTTTAGCTTTTAATTTAAATGTCATCTTTTAGTGATGAACATGTGCTCTCCTAACGTTTTTCCTGGAGACCAGGAAAGCAGTTCCTCTTCTATAAGTTAGGCCTTCTCTTTCCCAGTTACCTAAGAAACTGAATTGGAAGCAGAATAAAATTGTTTCAGCCATGTCTTCATTTTATGTGTGGGTATTCATTTGGAAAATCTTTGTTTACCTCTCTTCTGTCCTCTCATGAACTTCATCAACAATAATATGGGTGACTCCTTGCAGAGCTGTATCTCCTTCTAGCCTTCTCAGCAGCACTCCTGTGGTGCAGTACAACAGTCTGGTGGCTGAGGACTTGCATGGAAAAGGGCACAGAAAGAATTCATGAAATTGTTGAAAAAAGAAACACTTTCCTGACAAAGCTACTGTGAATGGATAGGAATCAAGAATATTGAAAACAGCCCTGGCCAGTTTGACTCAGCGGTTAGAGCGTCGGCCCGTGGACCAGAGCGTCCCGGGTTCGGTTCCTGCTTGGGGCACGTACCTCAGTTGCAGTTTGTCCCCAGCCCCAGTTGGGGTCAAGTGGGTGGTGGCAATCAGTTGATGTGTCTCTTTCACATCGATGTTTCTCTCTCTCTCTTCCTCCCTCTCTCCCTCCCACTCTATCTGAAGATAAATGCAAGAATGTCCTCGGGTGAGGATAAAAAAAAAATTTAAGTTTAGGACTCATAAAAATCTTCATAAAGTATTATAAAACATAAAAACAATAGTGAGTGATAAAATCAATTCTGAATTTACCCATTCCTTATTCAGTTAAATGGACTAATTTCCTGGTTTAAGAGCAACTTATTAGATCACTTCTGCCAGTAAAGAATAAATGGTCTTTATAGAGGAAATTAAGTACACCCAAATAAGAGTTTTTAATACCAAAATATTTCTAAAAGGGCTTCCGAAGTATATCCCAAATTTCCCATGAATCTCTAGACCTCAAGAACTCTTTATACTTGAAAACTAAATTTCTGTTATCAGGAAATAAGCAGAGCATACAAACCTTGACACTCTCCAAGCGGATCTGGTATCCCACAGTCAGACCCACCCTTTCTGCTCTCTCTTTAGCAACACGTTCAGCAACAGAGATTGCAGAGATTCGTCGGGGTTGGGTACAGATGATGTTAGCCACCTTCTCTGGTGGTCCGTTCAGAGAATCATCCAGTATAAACTGTGGAATCTGAGTGGTTTTCCCACATCTATAGTTAAAGCAAATAAGACCTAAAATGAGAGTCTGTAAGTGCTAGTTACTAAAGAAGAACCATATGCAATGAAGAAAGACAGAAAGCTAATTAGAATAAGAGCTGTTCAGCTTCATCTATCTTCTAAACCTATACTGACTTATTACTTATAACTGATAATTCCTAGAAATTTGTACTCATTAATGGGACATCAAAAAATAATTTAGTATCATTTATAAAATCAGGACCACTGAATATACATTATCAAGGTCTGTAAATGCCTTTAGGAATGTGAACTCTATGTATGACTCCTAAATAGAAGTATTATCTTAAGTTTATTAAAATAGTTTATATTTTTCCCTTTGATGTTTATTAACTTAGCTATAAGTGAACTGAGGTTAAATAGATAAGAAACTGCAAGATATAAAGTTACTACTGTATCAGTGAGTCTGGGCACAAATGTCATGATTAAATTGAGAACCCCTGAATAGATAACAAATTATGCCTTTGACTTGTCCCTGCTAAATGTGTTTTAATAAAATATAGAGTATGAAACAGGAAAAATAATATGCCCTAAGTTGTCCTTTTTTAATATGTTTTTATTGATTGTAGAGAGAGATGAAGGGAGGGGGGAGGGGAGAGAAACACTGAGGAGCTGCCTCCTGCACACCCGGGCATGTTCCATGACTGAGAATTGAACCAGTAATCTCTCAGTGCAAGGGACAATGCTCAACCAACTGACAGCCACACTGGCCAGAGCCCTAAGTTGTTCTTAAAAGCTCTAAGGAAAGCAAAATAAATTCAGAAGGTAAAAACTTTTCTGAATCTATCCTTTACATTTTAAATGGGCTGCGTTAAAAGCCTTCAGCTAAACCTTTTGCCTTAATATTATCTCAAAGTAGAGATGTACAATGTCTATAAATTCCTAGATGTTTTTCTGAGTTTTGTTTTTGGTTTTTGTAATTTGGCTCTGGTGACTACTGATGCTGCAGTATTTTTTTTTTTTTTTTTTTATCTTCACCCAAGGACACCTTTCCATTTTTTGTTCAGATAGAGTGGGAGGGAGAGAGAGGAACAGAGAGAGAGAGAGAAACATCGGCATGAAAGGCACACATCGAGTGGCTGCCATCCGCATGACCCAACCAGGGCCGGGGACAAACTGCAACCGAGATACATGCCCCTGGCGGGAACCAAACCCAGGTCGCCCTGGACCGCAGGCCGACACTCCCACCGCTGAGCCAAACCGGCCAGGGCTGCAGTATTAATTCCTGTGAAATATTATTTAATAATTGACAGGAAAAGGCGCAAATAACACTAACTACCGGTTTTTCAAAAACGAATGGCTAGGTAATCAGGGTCCATACCATATTTACCGATGAAAGCTGTGTTACAAATAAACTGCATTCTTACCCAGTCATACCACTTATAACAAGTACTTGGTGCTTGCTCAACAATTTAAGAATAGTTTCTCTTTCTTCCCAAGCAGGGAGTGATTGTCTTTCTTGCAGAATAGATTGGAACTGCCTGGAAGCCTAATAAAATAAAAGATAAGGTATCAATCAGTTAGGTAACTTTAAATCACCTTTCACAAAGCTCTGCATGTGAAAACCCACAGACCCATCCTTTCTGCTCTTTAATAACTGATTCAGAGAAAGAAATTGCAGATTTGTTGGGCTGGATGCTGATGATGTTAGTCAGAAGGCTGCTCAGAGAATCAGCCAGAATAAGCTGTGGAATCTGTGGTTTTTCTGATTGGAATAAATGGAAAGATCTTATAAGAGAAATGAACCCCTCTTGCTTAGTACTTATCCAGCTTCCTAGTAAGAGTTTTTACACCAGCACTGTCAAATAGAACTTTTTGTGTTGATGAAAATGCTCTATATTTGCGTTGTCTGGTATAATAACCTTTGGCTACATGTGGTTACTAAACACTTTACTGTGGCCAGTGCTACTAAGGACCAGAATTTTTTATTTTATTTTAATAAATTTAAATTTAAAAAACCACACATGACTGGAAGCTACCATATTGAACAGCACAGTTCTACACAATATCAGATTTTTACCAAAATCAGTAATAGTAAGAGCACTCATTAAACGGTTCTTTTTGGCCAATCATCACATCTATGCAACTCTGCCTGACATCTCATGGCCAGTGCTACATAGTAGTATACGTTTAAACTATGAATGTATTTTTGAATAATGTAAGAAATGTATATTAACACACCATTTTCTGCATATAATTTTATCACCTCTGGACACACTAACCAATTAAACATGTAACTTTTATTTCCATCTTATTATTTATGGTGTGACTTTTGTATTCATTTTGACATTGTATGGGTATTTTACTATACATATGATAATTTTATATACTATCTAAAGTTCTGAGTCACCGAACTTTAGAACTGGAATGGACCTCACACAGCATCTCTAATCCATCCCCCAAATTGGCTAAGCCACTCTGCTTTGTCCCATATTTAACTCTGCCTTCATAGTTCACTGGCAGGTTCTTTTAAAATAATCTTCATGTGAATGAGGATAAAAACAACACAGGTGTTGAAAACAGAGAATTAGCTTAAACTTCTATGCTGTCGCTTACTAGCTATGTGTGTGACCTAGGGCAAGTTATCTATACTGTGAGCCTCTGAAAAGGGTAAGAGTCCCAAAGTCCCTCCTTATCCTTTTCCTTTTCTACAGTGATCCCTCTAATGTAAGTCACAGTAAGATATTAATTTTCCTTCCACTATCACATTGTCTGTCACAGTACCAAAGCCACATGATTCTGAGAATACTTAGTATATATATGTGTATTTCATTTTCACCAGCCATTGGATTTTCCAGAAACATCTAGATTTGTGCCCAGTTTGCTGTGGCATGCAGAAATTTTGAACACTCAGTAAAAGAGAACCAAAAGTATACTAGGGAGGGTAGCCAAAGCTTCCCAATTCCTAATCCCTTCATTCATACATTAGGGAGGCAATGCTAGCCATTCTCTCAAAATACCCTACCTGTTTTATTCGGAACTGCTTGCAGATTTTAGCATTTTCAGCATGTACTGATTTTGCCTGCCAGTCATATCTTTTGGAAATCTTTTTCTTAAGGTTCACATAGCTTTCATTCTCCACTACAACTGGTGCAGGACCTTCATCCTCATCTGTCTCCTCCTCAGGTTCTGATTCTTTTTCAACTTGAAGGGGATAAAAGGAAACATTTTCGATATGGAGCCCTTTCTTTTTCAAAGGGGGAAAGTCACTATCTAACAAAGTAACAGCAACAAAATCATAAAATAGAAAAAAAGTTAAAGCTTGAATAAAGCAGGTTCATTCATTTCAGTACTACTACCTCTAGTGCTAAAGAACTTAAAATGTATCTTCAAACAAACTTTAATCAAGTATAAGTGACTATCATTAAAAACAAAATTAAATAAAAAACAAAGAGAAAATCATGGCATGCCTTGCTAATCCAGTAGACTCTTTACATTCCAGGAATTAACTGAAAGTTTCAACTACTTGCAAATGTACCTAAAATTTTGACACAAAACAACCTATCAAATAATGGTTCAATAAACAAAATGTGGTATGTTCATGTAATGGACTCCTATTCAGCAATAAAAAGGAATGAAGTACTGATATATGGTACAACATGAATGAAGCTTGAAAAATTATGTTAAGTGAAAGAAGCCAGACACAAAAAGCCATAAATTGTACGATTCCAATTCTATGAAGTGCCCAGAATAGGCAAATCCATAAAGACAGAATATAGATCCATGGTCATCAGGGGGTGGGAGAAAAGAGAAATAAGAAGTGACTGCTAATAGTTATGGGGTTTCTCTTTGTGGTGAGGAAAATGTTCTGGAATTAGACAGTGGTCATGGTTGCACAACTCTGTGAATATACTAAAAACCATTTAACTGTATACTTTAAAAGGGTGAATTTTATGGTATGTAAATTATATCTCAATAAAGTTTATTTTCTAAAAAGTCCACAACCCACAACTGTCATTTCTCGAGGAACACGTATGAATCTCAGGGCTAGAGGCTGACATTTGGAAGCGAGTCAAGTGGCGAGTGGGCGAACCCGGACAACTGTCCAGCACCCGTAACTCAGTGCAGCTTCACTGTTCTCTACTTATTGATGTTTACCTGGGAACCCTTGTGAAATAATAAAAACTTATTTCTCTGAAAGAGAGACAGCAACAAATAAGAGAGAATTCTTTGATGAACTAAAGGGTATTAAGTTTGGTGTAAGAATCATACAGCAAACCTGGATGTGGATAAAGCCAGAAGCCTGCACAAACATTTCTTTATTTGAGGATCTAGGGATTCATGAAGATAGCCCTACTCCAGTGAACTCTGGAGGTCTACTGTACTAAGAGCAAGAGTGTGAATAGTAGTATAGAAAGAGATGTGAATAGTAGTATAGAAAGAGAAGTAACTCTAAAAACTCATTTGAAAATAATCCCATATAAAGTTATTGGAAATAAACAAGTAAAACCAAATGAATTAAATGAAACAGGTTTTCCGGGAAGATGCCATAAGTTTCTTCCAACCTTCAACTGCTAGAGTAAATTTCCACATCACTTCAAACTTTCAATTCAGGGAGCCTAGTCACAGTGACAAAACTGGGCCTTACAATTAAAGCCAGGCCCTAGTTCAGCGAATTACCACTTCTTTTTGCCTATGGACTGAGGAGAATGACTTGTCCAAGATCACTGGGAGATCCCAGACCAGCCCTCAGAACCTTTGACTTCTTCAGTCCATCATTCTGAATACCCCCTATCCCCATCCTGAACACCCTCCACATGATCAATGCCTTACATACCTTCTGGAATTCGACTTGAAACAAAAGAATTATTTGGAATCACTGGTTTATGACAGACAGGATTATGTATTCTGGTCCCAGAGCATATTGGCAGAAAGTTCACTGGAGGGACACTGTACTTGTGATGGGTATTTGTTAGTAAATTGACTATTTCTGATTCTTCCTCTAAAAGAGTAATCAAAGAATACACAACAGGTTCTGAAGTTTCTGCAAATGTCAAGGCCTTGCCATAAAGGAACTCAGAAATATGTAAACGACAAGCCAGAGGTAGATTGTCATTGGTGGAATAAAATGCCACAAGGGGAGCTTCGTAGGGGTATTTGTGGTCTTTAGAAAAACGAATTTCAAGTTCATATAAAAAAGATGCATCTTCGTCAGCATTAAGATGAGAATCATCAACACTTCTTTCCACTCTTCCAACAATCTGATTTGGGGGCACTTCATGCTTAAATTTGCATTTTGATCCAAATTTACAATTTCCTTTGAGGTAAAATTTACAAACTTCAAGTGAAGTCTCTTGTACATTTTTGATACTTTCCTTTTGCTTGGATTTGCAGAATTTACTTGTCAAATACTCCAGTTCTAATCCAATGGTCCAGACTCTGTTCTGAATCCTTTCTATGAATTTTTCTCCACAGATTGACTTGAGAGCAAATGCCTCTTCCTGCCGCTGTTCCACACACTCATCCACGCTTATGTGTGCAACTGCCTCAGAGACCTTCATCCTCTCTCCAAACGTCTCAGAAAAACACTGGGTGAGTAGATGTTCTAGTGATGCCCCCACATCTCCACCACAAACCCTCAGGGCTGCCTGACAGCGCTCTGTGTTGAAACCATACCTGCCAAGTGTGAAACAACAAAAAAGGAGTCATAGAAAATCACAGAAGTGAGATTCACTTAAATACACTTATGTGAAGTTATAACTATATCTAGGCAGGGTTTGTATTTTGAAAAAGAGGACCTGATAATATTAATTCCTCCTTAATCTCCCTAACCTAAAAGAGAGAATACTTCTGGAACCCACACAATAGGAAAGCACTCAAAATGGGGGAGGGTAGCTGGGTTTACAATATGCCTTCCTTTCTGTGAATTCTCCTGCAACTCCTACAAATGTTGAAAGCAATCACCTGGAAAGTTTTTGCATGGCAAATGTTGAGACCGTAAACTCTGGATTATGAGGCTCCACCAGGCATGAGCCAGCATATTCCAAAGGATCAGAGTCGGGAACAAGGGAAGCTTCTCGTCCAGCAGACCAGTACTGTGCATCATCACAATCAGGCTCATCATCTTCCTCCTCCCCAGAAATGCTTCTCCTGGAAAAAGTAACATGTTCATATTTTATATATTAATTTCTACTTACTTCAAAGAAAAACTTAGCACGAGTCTAAGAATTTAATTTAAAAAGCCAAAGACATGGGATTCTGACCACTATTCAGTCACTGATTTAATCTTTTATTCACCTATTAATTTATATCTTGAGAATTAACATTTATCAGGCACTTACTGCATGCTAGGTACTATGTTAAGTATTTTATATGTACTATCTCTTTTAAAATCTTCCTAATAACCCAACCAGATACTATTGGAATCTCCATTTTTCAGATGATCATCTAAATCTTAGAGAGGATGAGTAACTGCTATAGGTTATCCAGCAAAGAGCAACTGGAGATTTTAACCAAGGCAGTCTACGCTAGAGCCTGTATTCTTAACTACAGAAGTCTTGGCTCTCCTCTTTCCTCTCATTAACAAAACCACCTTTAATTTTTTGCTTTGCTGCATAACCACCTTTCCCAAATCTAAGAGAGATTAAGATATTTGTAGATAAGATAGAAATTGAGCTGCTCAATACTGACCATTCATTAATTCTGGCAAGTGGAACGAATTAACCACTGAAATGAAAAAGCAAAATAGCCACAAAAGTAAAACCTATTTCTCTTAGGCAGGTGGTCATGAGTAGTGTAATCTTAAGATTTTTATCTTATCAACTCAATATTTGCTCCTGGAACAATATTTCTACTTGTTCACTGCAAGGTTTTATTTGGAAGGTTATCAATAGAGCAATTACTGAATCCACATTAGCATTGTCTGAGGAAAAAGATGAAAAGGCAATCTGAACCACTACTCACAGATACTGCAAAACAAACTCATTCTAAAACTGTTGCTGACAATTTTTATTCTTGCATTTCTCTTAGCTCACGTTCAACTAGTTATTATAGCCACAACAGGATCAGTGTTGATACAGTATTCATAGGACACACAGGGTCTTCCCTGTAGGTGAAGATGCTTCCTTAATATAATAATTTACTCAAATAAAATAATTTACTCTGATCCAGCATCGACATCTTGTTCTTGCAGGTCTCGGAGAAGAGCTTTCACTTTCTCTTGATTCTCAGAAGTCATATGTAGAGTCTGTAAGGGCACTTTGGCTTTGGGCTTCCATTTGGAGTGTGCTTCTCCTCCTTTTCTTATGCTACTGTTGCTAGGTCTGCAGAGACACAAAGGCAAAATTACACATTTACCTATAATCAGAATTTGTACACTCTCCTTAGAGTCCCAAATATATACAACACAAAGTAGATGGTCAAGTATCTTACAAAAGATGACAATGCATGGGAAGAAGTTCTCTGTTTTCTATATTCCTCACCAGACTCCTTTATGTTGGAACTGCTGGAAAAACACTGATCAGATTCTTAATCATTAAAACTGGTTTCACTAACTCAAGAACCCTCTGGAAAAAACAACACTATCATGACTCCTTCTGTACTAGAGAACTTTCTCAAGAAATATGCTTCACAAAAAAAGTGTTTATTGCATTCTATGTTAGGTAGCCAATCTGAAAACAATCAAGTTCCCTCACCTGTTTCCTGACACTGACTTAAAAAAAAATTTTTTTTTTTCCCTTTATTGATTTTTGGAGAGAGGAAGGGAGAGGGAGAGAGATAGAAACATCGATGAGCAAGAACATCAACTGGCCGCCTCCTACATGCCCCCCACTGGGATTTGGCCCACAACCTGGGCATGTGTCCTGACCAGGAATTGAACTGGCGACCTCTTGGTGCAAGTCTATTCTCAACCACTGAGCCACCCCCGCCAGGATGACATTGACTTTTCTGAGGCACCCAGGCCAGCTGTCTTGTATAAATTCCCACAATTTGGATTTGGCTGATTGTTTCCTCATCATTAGTTTAAAAAAGGGGTGGGGGGAGAACCCCCACGGTGCTCCTATTTCATCCACCACTTATTTGTAAACCCCTGTATTTTGTCTTCCTTCCTGCTACTAAGGATAAATCATCCTTGATCCTAACATCAATCCCTCTATTTGTACACTGTGTCCCAATGTCTTTAATCTCCTCAGGGAAATCATTCCAGCATTTAAACCCCTCTCTACTTCATCAATTCTTCTCCATTGGATCATCCCCATCAGCACATACACAGGCTACATAATATACACTATCTTAAAAAAAAAAAAACCAACAAAACTCTCCCTTTGACTGCACATCTCCCTCAGGCTATAGTCCTCTCTCTCCTTCCCCGCTGCCAGTTATAGCACAACTCAAAAGGTTTAGCTACCTCACTTTGTCTCCACTTGCTTTCCTCTTCTCTCAGAAACAACTCCAGTGAGGGCTCCCTTCCTACCAACTACACCAAACAGCTCTTGTCAAGGCTACTCATGCTATCCACATTGCCAGATCCAGTGGACAACTGTCAGTGCACATTTCTCTTGACCTATCAGAAGCATTTTTTTTTTTTACATCTAAGTATCCCTTTAAGTATCTAGTCCAATCTGATTAAGTAATTTCATTTAAATCACCTTTATTTCTTGACTTCCAGAAACCATGCTCTTAGTTTTCCTCCTACTTCATTGGCAACTCTTTCTCAATTCTCCTTGTTTGATTCTCCTAATCGCTCTCAGCTCTCAAGCCTAGAGTTCCAGGCTCAAAGTTCTTCTCTATAGTCTATCTCATCCAGCCTCATAGCTTTAAATAGCATTTATTTATAGAGCACTCATATATTTATTTCTCTACCCTAGGTCTTTTTCTTGAACTCCAGACATATGCTAAATTGCCAATGACATCTTCACTTGGAGAGTACCTCTTAACTGGCTTCCTGGTTCCAACCCATGCCCCCTGTAGTCTATTCTCCACACAGCACACTGAGCAGGGGTGGAAGAACTGAGAGGGAGGCAGGGGCAGCAAGAGCTAAAATCTAGCCCGTGCTGTGCTTGTCAAGTCATGTATCCTGAGGCTATAACTGCCCAAAGAAAGGGGCACTTTTTTTTTTTTTTAAATCCTCACCCAAGGACATTTTTCCATTTTTTGTTCAGATAGAGTGGGAGGGAAAGAGAGACAGAGAGAAATATCGACGTGAAAGAGATGTATCGAGTGGCTGCCACTTGCATGACCCAACCAGGGCCAGGGACAAACTGCAACCGAGGTACGTGCCCTTAGCGGGAACCGAACCCGGGTCTCTCTGGACCGCAGGCCGACGCTCTAACCACTGAGGCAAACCGGCCAGGGCCACATTTTCTAATTCACATAACAGGATATACTAAATAGTAGCAACTCTGGCCAGAGGGATTGGTGTCACACACCCTTATCTTATACCCTGCAACAACTTCCCTTCTTACTCAAAGCCAAAGCCAAAGCCAGTCCTTATACTAGCCTATAAAGTCCTACAAAGTGTAGCCTTCCAGATCTAACTGCCTATCACTCTCCTTTTTACCCATCTACCCTAGCCACTGGGTTCCCTGCCATTTCCTACCCCTTCTAAGCACACTCCTGGCTTAGGGACTTTGTACTTGCTGTTGCTTCTGCTTTGAATGTTCTTCCCTCAGCTAGCTTCACAGCTCACCCTTTCATTTCTTTCTTGTCCATGCTCAAATTATTAGGGAAGCTTTCTGTGATCATCGTACATAAAATAACAAACTAGTGAAAATACCAGCAATCTATCTTGGTATTTTCTATCACCTCTACCCTCCTTCATTTTCCTCCATTGCACTTACAACCTGACATAGTACATATTTATTTATGGTCTTTATACTTTAAACCTCCTTCTGTGAAGACAAGGACAATGTTTTATTCATTGCTGTAATTTTAGTCCCTAAAACAAGCACCTGGTGTATAGCAGGCACTCAGTCAACATTTGTTGCATGGATTAACGTCAAAGACTGCAAGAACCTATGATGTTTGTGTTTTCAAAAAGAATGGAGCTGCATCTAACTCAGAAATTGGGTTCTTAAGTCAGCAGCTGAGGTGAAAATATAGTTTAAAATTACTCTGGAAGAGTCCTTAAAATGGTGCCAAGTTTGAGACTTGCTATAGTATTTCTCAATATGTCCAAAATGACCATTTTTCTTCTAGAATGAAAAAAAAAAAAAAGTAGATTCTCTTGTTGAATAACAGATGAAGTATTTGGTTATGTTAGGCATTGTGTGTGAAAAACATACATTTAAACCCTAAAATCACACACTCAGTGTATCAGAGGTTTAAACTACAAGACGCACTTGCAAACTGAGACTGAGGAAATAGTGGATTCTTCTCTCCATATCTTGCTCACTAGGGGGCCCAGATTCATTTAGTGGTAAGTTTTAACTACTTAAATGCTATCTGTTTTTCTTTTTCTTTTTTCCTGAATGCATATAGTTGAATTCATTTAAGTTAAAAGCATGTATGAGCCCTGGCCGGTTTGGCTCAGCAGTTGGAGCGTTGGCCTGCAGACCAGAGAGTCCCGGGTTTGGTTCCTGCTAGGGGCATATACCAAATAAATAAATAAATAAATAAATAAATAAATAATAAAAGCATGTATGATACAGTTAAACTCTAGTACTCATCTATATTCCTTTCTAATAATATTTAGTTGAGAATTATTCTCACAGAAGTGTGTGTATACATATATAGCTTTTTAAAAATTATTATTATTTTCAATCCTCACCCAAGGATATTTTTCCATTTATCTTCAGATAGAGTAGGAGACAGGGGAAGGGAGGAGAAGGGAGAGTGAGTAGGAGACTGAGTGAGAGAGAGAGAAAGAGATGAGAGAGACACATCAATTGGTTGCCTCCCGCATGATCCTGACCAGGGCTGGGGACCGAACCCCAACTCAGGTACATGCCCGTGACTGGAATCGAACCCGCGACTCTTCGGTTTGTGGGCCGATGCTCTAACCGCTGAGCCAAACTGGCCAGGACTAGCTCTTAAATACTCTCTCCATCTCTAAAAATTCCCATAGAAACACAGTGCAGTTTGAGAGACAATTACAATTTTACATATATATTGCATAGCATGCAGTAGCAAATCTTTTTTTTTTTTTTTTTTTAATCCTCATCCGAGGACATTTTTCCATTTTTTGTACAGACAGAGTGGGAGGGAGAAAGAGGAAGAGAGAGAGAGAGAGAAACATCGATGTGAAAGGGACACACCGAGTGGCTGCCACCCGCACAACCAACCAGGGCCGGGGACAAACTGCAACCGAGGTACATGCCCTTAGCGGGAACCGAACCCGGGCCTCTCTGGACCGCAGGCGGACACTCCAACCGCTGAGCCAAACCGGCCAGGGCGCAGTAGCAAATCTTTACTTTCATTAAATATTCATTAGAATTATCAGAATTTATTCATTATTTAGAAGCTGACTATGAGAGAAGCCTCAGTATGACATCTGTCACTGGTCATCACATGAAACACCAGTGAAGATTTGGTCAATCTGGTTGGAAAACAGATCATTCATCAATTAGAAGAGTCCAATCAGGTCACATATTTGGACCTTCAAACTATAAAGCCTAAGAAATACTTAATATAGTTTTCATCACTTTCATCATTTCCAATATTTACTTTCCTAGTAACACTGGTTACAATAACAATATTACACTCAATTCACAGCATCACGGGGAAGTTCAAGTTAACTTCATATTTTGAACTTCCAAAAAGAAAAAGCTGTTATTTGACATCTTGCCTTTAGACTATATTATAAAGAGGGGGACTGAAAAGTTTTAAAATGAGAGGAACAATTAACTTGAACAGAATTACTTGGCATTTCTTTCCCCTTCTCTTAGCATCTGTTGTCTCATAGATCAGGAATTGATATTGTTTCCATACTTGAACATTCAAAGAGCATAATACCTGGCAGAGGCCCTTGATTCACTGAAGATACAAAAGTCATCGCCATCATCCCAAATTCTACTTGAGGCCTTTCTATTGCCACCACTGCCACTACCACCACTGCCACCCCCGTGAGATTTATTAGAGTGACTCCTGCCTCCTCTTCCTCCTCCTCTCGAAGACCCTTTTCCACTTCCTTTGCCTGGCTTGCCTTTTCTTCTTACAGAAGAACTCATTTTCACCTGCAAGAGAAAAAAATAATACAGACATCATAAAACCAGACAAGTATAATAGTTCTTTGTTTTCAAAGTTATGGATATAGCCTATTTTTAAAAAATAAAGAAAATGCACATTTTAAAAGGGCCAGTTTACAGAAAGCATGAATTCACAAAAGTTGCTTCACAAAAGATTTACAAGCACATCCCCATCAGGATTAATATTTAGTGAGTTTCTCTGATACAGATTTCTTCACCGGCGATGTGCATCAGAAACACATGAAGAAGTTCCAAACACACATGCCTAGGCTCCAATCCTACATTTTGATTTGGTTATATCTGGTACAAAGTTTCAAAAGTTCTAGTTGAGTAAAGATGTTTTCATGTATTGAATATGTGACTTAATAAACAAAATTTAAATTTACATATACACTTTCAGAACACAGCCCTCAGAGATTATGTCTGGGGGGAGTAAAAGTGTAGAGTTTTTGTATGCAATCCAAGTTAAGTTGATATCAGCTTAAAATAAAATGTTATAACTATAAGATGTTTTAGGTTAGCATCATGGAAACCACAAAGTGAAAAAATAAAATAGATACACAAAAAATAAAGAGAAAGAAATAAAAGCATACCACTACAGAAAATCATCAAATCACAAAGGAAGAAAAAAAGAGAAAGAAAGGGATAATGGATTTATAAAACACAAAGGAAGCAATTAATAAAATGGCAATAGTAAGCCCTAGTTATCAATAATTACTGCAAATGTAAAGAGACTAAATTCTCCAGTCAAAAGACATAGAGTGGCTAAATGGATGAAAAAACAAGACACAACTATATGCTATCTACTACAGAATTGCCACAGCTTTAAGGAAACACATAGATTGAAAGTGAAGGGATGGAAAAAGATACACCATGCAGATGGAAACCAAAAGAGAGCAAGGATAGCTATACTTATAGCAAACAAAATAGACTTTAAGTCAAAATACCTAGGAATAAATTTAACCAAGGAGGAGAAAGACCTGTGCACTGAAAACTTTAAGACGTTAAAAAAAGGAACTGAAGGAGACAGATATAAATGGAAAGATATTCTGTGCTCATTGATCGGAAAAGTTAATATTGTTAAAATGTCCATACTATCCCATGCAATCTACAGATTCAGTGCAATCCCTATAAAATTCCAATGACATTTTTCTTTCTTTTTTTTTTTTTAATCCTCACCTGAGGACATTTTTCCATCTTTTGTACAGATAGAGTGGGAGGGAGAGAGAGGAAGAGAGAGAGAGAGAGAAACATCGATGTGAAAGGGACACATCGAGTGGCTGCCACCCGCACGACCAACCAGGGCCGGGGACAAACTGCAACCGAAGTACATGCCCCTAGCGGGGGCCGAACCCGGGTCTCTCCGGACCGCAGGCCGACGCTCTAACCGCTGAGCCAAACCGGCCAGGGCTCCAATGACATTTTTCTCAGAAATAGAACAACTAATTTGTATGAACATTTCCTAAAATTTTTTGAAACCACAAAAGACCCCAAATAGCCAAAGCAATCTTGAGAAAGAAGAGCAAAGCTGAAGGTATCATATTTCCATAATTTTAAACTATATTACAAAGCTACAGTAATCAAAACACTATGGTATTGGCATGAAAACAGATATATAAATAAATGGAACAGAATAGAGAGCCCAGATATAAACCCATACATGTATGGTCAATTAATTTATAACAAAGGAACCAAGAATATATAACAGGGAAAGGGCCATCTCTTCAATAAATGGTGCTGGAAAAATTGGACAGCTACATGCAAAAGAATGAAACTAGACTACTATCGTATACCATACACAAAAATGAACTCAAAATGGATTAAGGATTTAAATGTAAGATATGAAATCATAAATCTCCTAGAATAAAACATAGGTGGTAAGCTCCTTGGCAATGGTCTGGTGATACAAACAAGTAGGGCTATATTAAACTAAAAAACTTTAACAAAGCAAAAGAAATCATCAACAAAATTAAAAGGCAACCTATTGAATGGGAGAAAATATCTGCAAATCATATATTTGATAAGGAGTTAATATCCAAAATATATAAAGAACTCATACAGCTCAATAGGTAAAAAAACAAAAAAACCTCACCAATATCTAATTTAAAAAATGGGCCCAGCCAGTGTGGCTCAGTGGTTGAGCATCGACCCATGCACCAAGAGGCCGCTGGTTCAATTCCAGGTCAGGGCACATGCCCAGGTTGAGGGCCTGACCCACAGTGGGGGGGATGCAGGAGGCGGCCAATTGATGTTCCCTCTCATCAATGTTTCTATCTCTCCCTCTTCCTTCCTCTCTCTCTCTCTCTCTAATATCAATAAAAGAAAAAAGAAAAGGAGCAGAAAGAAGACATATAGACAACCAATTGGTAGAAGAAGGATTATGTCTATTTTGATTAACACTGTACCTCTAACATAGTATCTAGCATATAGTAGGAATTTAGTACTGTGGGGTGAATTACTGAAGGTTGAGTAAATTATTGATATGAGAATGGAGATTCATTCGTTTTTTTTTTTATTCATTCCACAAATATTTATTGAGCACTTATTGTGTTGCTAGGTACTAGGGATATAACAGCCAGAAGAAAAAAATTCCTGCCTCATGATGCTTACCAGCTAGAAGGTAAAACAGACAATAAATACACAGATTTGTAATATCAGTTAAGTGCTATGTAGAAAAATAAAAACCCTGAGGTTGTTATTTTAAGTAGAGTGGTTAGGTAAGGCCTCTCTTAGATCATATTTGAACAGACACCTGAATTGAGAGAATGAGTCATGAAATAGCTGTGAAAAGAGCATTCTAAGCAGAAGCAGTAATAGGTACAAAAGTGTCAAGTCCTGAAGATCTTTAATGCACTGGAGTGGATGAACAGTAAGAAGTCTGGTGGGTCTGTGAGGAAAGGGGATGAGGTCAGAGAAGAGAGGCCACATAGGCCTTGGAAAGGACCTTGAATTTTACTCTAAATAGTTGTGTCGTGAAACCAATTCTACTGTAGGCTAATTGATATAAATAAGAGGTAAGTTCCTACAGCACCTCATCAATGTTACAACAAAGTTGAACTAAAACGACATTATTCGAGGACCTTCTGTATAATAAGTCACTAGAAAGCTGATGCAAAAGCTTGACAAGACTGACTTATGTTAAAAAATTATTTTTTCTTTATTGTTTTTAAAGAGAGGAAGGGAGAAGGAGAGATAGAAACATCAATGAGAGAGAACATCGAATGGCCGCCTCCCGCATGCCCCCAATTGGGGATTTGGCCCACAAGCTGGGCATGTGCTCTACCGGGAAGTGAACCAGCGACCTCTTGGTGCATGGGTCAATGCTCAACCCCTGAGCCACACTGGCTGTACCCATTTTTAAAATTAGATATTTTAAACAATTACTCTAGAACTATGTAAAGAATAAAAATTTGGGGGGTGAGATAGGGGGGCAGTGAGGAAAAACCAGAAGGCCAGTTAGGAAATTAATGCAGTTATTCAGGCAGGAGAAAAAACTCAGTGGGCTAGACTAGGGTGGAAACAGTGGAGTTGAAAAGGAGTCATAGATTCTGAAAATATTTTAAAGGTAGAGGAATTAGATGAAAGGTATGAAAAATAAGTGTCTAGAATTATGGTAAGATTTTTTTGGCCTAGGTTAACCAGGCGAATCATGGTGTCATGTGCTCAGAACAGGAATAATGGGGAGAAAATGATCCGGGGGGGTGGGTAAAGAGTCACAAGTTCAGGCTGGATATGTTACATTTGAGATGCCTTTTTGATACTAAAATGGAGCCCTGGCCAGTTTGGCTCAGTGGTTAGAGCATCGGCCTGCGGTCCAGAGAGACCCAGGTTCGGTTCCCACTAAGGGCATGCATCTCGGTTACAGTTTGTCCCCAGCCCTGGTTGATCGTGTGGGTGGCAGCCACTTGATATGACCCTTTCACGTCGATGTTTCTCTCTCTCTCTCCCTCCCACTCTATCTGAACAAAAAATGAAAAAATGTCCTCGGGTGAGGATTAAAAAAAAAGGTACCCAAATGGAGATATGTAGAAGGTAGTTGGATATAGAAGTTTGAGATGAAAACCTTGTAAGGTAAATATTATTTTCTATGTTATAGAAGAGACTTGTCTAATGTCAACAATGACAGAAACAAAGTCTGAAACAATCCATTTGATTCCCAAGCTGAAATTCTTTCCATATCATCTCCTTACCACACACACGTACCAATTCAAAAGTTAACAATAAGCTTTCCTCCCTTAGATTTGTGCCTGTGTCTTAATTTATAAAGGTGACTGAGTGACAACACAGAGAGTTAATGCCATTGAAAGAAAAGTTCAGTGTTATAGTTGCCCTAGAAAGGGAAGTCATGTCATGCCACCAGAAGCTTAAGAGTCGCATGCTCTACTAACTGAGATCTGTTATGGTGGAAAACATGCCTTGTCTTCCCCGATTGCTGGCAAGAGTAGAGTTTTTGGGGTACCGCTGGAATAAGCATTTCCGGAGGCCCCCTTAAGAGGATGAGATATGGTAGAAAGCTTTATTTTTGTGGAACTACATCGCTGGGTTTCCAAAGTCCCATTTCCCTTAGTCCAGACACAGAAGAAGTAGAGCTGGGGTTTTAGTAGAGCTAAAATCAGAACCAGTGCCCAGTTTCCTTTCCATGTTGGAGCCAGGTCCAGTTTAGCATCAGGCTAGTTACAGTCCATTAGTCCATTGTGTGTGGGTCCACATGGCCATGGGCCATATGGGCAAATGCAGGGAAGGAGGAGCAGAAGAACCCCACAGGCCCAGAGTCACAGGAGTCCCAAGAGAGCCAAGGGAGCAAACTCTTTTGTTTAGGGGGTTAGGTATCCCAAATCTTCGTGCCCTTGCAGTGGCCATGCCCATTCTAGCCAACCACCTCTATCCCCAGGTGTGACTTTACTGGCATGTCTCTACCTTTCCTTTGCTGGCCCCCTGAGGAGTGTAAAGTTGTAGCTTCCTGGTGAAGCTGCCTAAACGACATGCCTATAATATCTGGCCTTCCCTTTGCTCTTTTCCGCTTATTAATAACTAATTATTAAGGTATCAAGGGCACATACAAGAATTAACCAATGAATGCATAAATAGGTGGAACAACAAATCAATATTTTTTTCTCTCTCTCTCCCTTCCTCTAAAATCAATAGATAACACATAAATAAATAAATACATAAACAAAGAAGAGTGGCTAGCCAGCTGGAAAAGCCACAGCAAGTTTGCCTAAAGAGCAATCAAAAACTTGTCTCACACCAATCCAGAAAGTGTTACCTTTACAGTTTGATCTGAGATCTGCTCTCAAATTCTGCCTGAAGACTTGCTGGCTGTACCCTATATGACTATCCCCAGCCGTTTTCCAGGGAACGGGAATTAGGTTGTACAATCCACATAGATTCACTATTCTATCCCATTTAGTATGGGAAGATTCCAACTATCCTTTTTCACCGTGAACACAGGGACCTAAATTTGGCTCGGAGTACCCTTTGTTCCACACCCAAGTTTTGTTCCCAGGAACAGAATCACTAAGCTGGGCGCTCCTCACTGACACACGCCACCCCCCTTCCCTTTCGGGCAAAAATCTCTACTGGCCCCATATGTCCAGCTCCCTGCAGATACCCAGACCTGGTACCTTTCCTGGAGCATGCGACGTCCCCGGTCCTCTCCCCCGAGGGGCCACTCGGTCCGAGATGGAGAACACAGGAAATGAAACCCGAGCCCCTCCACTCCAACCCTTTGCCCGCTCCGAGCCCGAAGTCCGCTCTCCGCCTCCAGCCGGCCCCAGGGTCTGGGGTGTGCTGGGCCTGACTCACCGGCCCCGCCTCGGGACAGGAGGCGGTAGGAGGGTCTGCACGCTGACAACAGAACGCCGCGCAGACCACGCACCCCGACACACCCCTAGTCCGCGGACGGCGAGGCCGCACGGCTCGCGGGGCGGCTTCCCGGCGGCTGTCAGGAGGGAGCGCTCAGCCGCGAGGAGTCCCGCCAGGATCCGCCGCCCCCTGGGCTCTCACCTGGAGCAGCTCGGCCGCGGCCCAGCGGCGGCTCCACAGCCCTGGCGCCTTCTAATTGGCTCAGACTTGGCCCCTCGCATTTTCGCTTCCGGGTGAGAGGTGCCTGGTCGCCCCGGCAACCGAGTCGCACTCCGCGGGGAGCTAGCGGCAGGTTTCCTGTTCGCCGCAGAGCTGGCGGCTCAGGGGGAATCGCAGAGCCCAGAAAATCTCTCCAGCACCTCTCAGCCGAGTGAGTGGCCTTCTTCCCCACGCCCGGGGCGGGGAAGGGCGCCTCTCAGTAGAACTCGCACTGATCCCGAGCTCGGCCCCGGCGACGCCGGTGCCCGGTGACACATTTCCTGAGCGTCCACCCTGCGGTGGGGTGGGGGCGCGGAGAGCCCCTGGCCTGAGAGTCAGGAAACCGGGACTCTCGCTCTGATTCGGCCGTTGATTTGCTGCTGTGACCACTTGGGCAAGTGCCGACCTCTCTGGGTTTCGTTTCCTCTGTGCTGCCGGACCATCTCCTCCTCTTCGGTTCCTTCTAGCTCGACGTGCCCAAACTTGGAATATGGGACCACTGAGGAGCCACTGAAAACAGTTCGCTTTCTCGTGTGATCAAGTTAACTGCTCTGTACTTAACGATTGCTCTCCAGGTCCATTCATTCAGTAGACATTCAATTCCTGCTAGTAAGTGCTAATTACTGAGCAGGACACTAGGATGAGGAAAGAAATTTGCCTAATCTGTGATCACTGACCTAAACGACTTGCGTATATGATGGGGGGTTCTGGCACAGACGCGTTGTTTTGTTTTGTTTTGTTTTGAAATAGGGCCCTACTTGCTATGTTAGAAATAGGCCAACGTGTTATGGGGTCTCCTAGAGGAGTCTGGGGGTGAGGGGGGAAAAGAAAGTCTTTGCTCTGGTGATACCTCTGTTTTTCTCTGTGACTTCTTTAGGGAAAAATTTTCAACCTTGTTTTCCAGTTCACTAATTTTCTTTTCGATGGTTTCTTTGCTATTTGGCCCTTCTATGGCGTCCATTTCATCAATAATTTATGTTCCAGATTGCCAATTTGCTGTCTTTCTTAACCACCTGTTCCTGTCTCAAGGCTGTTAAACTATTTTAAAGTCTCCTACCTACTGTGTTATTAACTCTTGCTTCCTCAGAGGGGATGAGCCAGTAGCTTTTCTTAACTGGCACCTAAATTCATTTTTAAATTAAAAATATCCGTTCTCTTGCCTCACCCAGAGAGATTCTGCTTCAGTAGTATAAGGTGAGCCTAGGAATTGAAAACATCCAAGGTAATTGTGATGCATGGGCCACACTTTGAGTAACATGCTGGCAGACTCTGTTGTTCTAGAAGTTAGAGTTTATTTTCTCAACATACATGTTTTCTTCAGCATTGGAAAATTTTAGTTTTTAATGTTTTAGTCTACTAAAATGTCCCAGTGCTCTGAGGCATAGGTTCACCCTAGTCATTGGTTTCTTTCTTTTTTACCTGGTCTCCATTTCAATCTCATTCTTTTTGAACCCCCACCCCCACCCCTCCTCATTTACTATTTTTATTTTATTTTTACTCCTTCTGCCAAATCAGAGATTCCTCATTTTACCTTATCTCTGAGACAATCCATAGATCATATAAGCTACCCAAAAGAAAAAATATATATGTCCATATAAAAACTTTTATGAATATCCATAGCAGCATTATTTATAATAGCCAAACTGGAAACAACCCAGCTGTCCATCAACTGATGAATGGTAAAATGTGTTATTTCTGTACAATGGACTATTATTCAGCAATAAAAAGAGATGAAGTACTGATACAACATGGATAAACCTTGAAAGCATGCTAAATAAAAGAAGCCAATCACAAAGGATTATATATTGTATGATTTCATATATATGAAATGTGCAGAGTACGCAAACCCATAGAGACAGAAAGCAGATTAGTGGTTGCTAGTGGCTGAGGCTGGGGTGGGGTGGGGTGGGGAATTAAGGGAATGGAGAATAGCTACAAATGGGTACATGATTTCTTTGGGGGGGTAATAAAATATTCTAAAATTAGATTGTGGTAATAATTACACAAATGAATAGTCTAAAATTATTGAATTGGCCCTGGTGAGTGTGGTTCAGTTGGTTGAGTCTCCTCCCATGCAACAAAAGGTCGCTGGTTTGATTCCCAGTTGGGGCACAGGCCTGGGTTGCCAGCTGCATCCCCAGTGAGGGGGCATGCAGGAGGCAACCAATGGATTTTTTCTCTCATATTGATGTTTTTCCCTTCTCCTCTCCCTCTCCCTTCCAGTCTCTTTAAAATCAATAAAAACATTTTAAAATAACTTAAGAATATTGAATTATATAATTTTAAAGGGTATGTTTTGTGGGATGTGAATTATATATTAATAAAACTGTTATAACAAACGAACACACACATAAAAGTGGATCATCTGACAAAATTATTTCCCCGGGAACCCTATACTAGATAATGGAATGTCAAGTAATTATGTTTGTGATCATATGAAGTGAGTCTATTTTAAGTTTATTTGACTTTTCCTAAATCTTTTAAAACAGCTGAAGAGGTGTATAAAATAAACTTTATATTTCCAAATGGAGACAAGTATGGTAAGCATACATTTCAATTACTTTTTCTCTATAGACAAAAATTAAATATCTTAAGAGTAAAAAAATGAGACTGTCACATTTTATATGACTACTACAGGGATATTAATAAAATAACATAAACAGATTTTAAATCTAAATTCTAATGTTAAGTCTACAGGCAGTGTGCCTTGGTAACCTATGGGATCTATCAGTCTTCCTGGCCATTGGGTCTCAATGATTACAAGACCTTCTGAGCTCTTCATCTCTGGTCTCATTGGTTTCAGTGCTAGGGAGCCAAAGGAGCCAAAGAGACCCAACGTGTAGTTGTGATTAGGCTTGAATATAAATACTTTATTTCTTAGTCAAAGAGAGTTCCCATATATAATCTTCAGTATTTTTCTCTTGTTTAGATGGTGATTGTACAAGAACACCTTCTGGAATCATTGAGAGAAATGGAGTAGGTATTCATACCACTCCTAATGGGATTGTCTACACAGGAAGCTGGAAAAATGACAAGGTATTATTGTTGGTTTAAATACAGACAGTGAATTAGTAAACCTATTAAATGATTCCAGGCATTTCTCCATTAATCAAAAAAACACATATGAGTAGACTATACAACCAAAAAGAAAAAGATTTTCTTTTCTTTTATTTATTTATTTATTTTTTATCCTCACCCGAGGACATTTTTTCGTTTTTTGTTCAGATGGAGTGGGAGGGGGAGAAGAGGAAGAGAGAGAGACAGAGACAGAGACAGAGACAGAGACATCGACATGAAAGGGTTGCCACATCGAGTGGTTGCCACCCGCACAACCCAACCAGGGCTGGGGACAAACTGCAACTGAGGTACATGCCCTTAGCGGGAACCGAACCCGGGTCTCTCTGGAAAGCAGGCCAACACTCTAACCACTGAGCAAAACTGGCCAAGGCGAAAAAAATTTTATATATATAAATATATATATACACACGTGCATATGAGTAATATTAAACTATGAACATGAGTAATATTAAACTCGTCTCCTATTTTTTGAGTAAAGCTAACCTCATTACATAATTTTCTCATTTAATCCTCAAAGCAACCTCATGAGGTAGGTACCATTAATATTCCTATTTTACAAATGAGGTAAATCAGGCTCAGGTTTCTTGCCCACCCAATAAGTGATGAAACAAGAATGTGTATCCACATCTGCTTGAATACAATTTTTGTTCTTAATAATGTTCTTAATATTTTACTGTTTCTTGGGTAACTAAAATGATTGCTCTTTAAGATTTTTGATAATTCAAGGTATCTCAAGGTTCCCCATTATCATCATGGTGTTCAAACCATGATGTTCAAGTGTCCCAAATGTTCAAATGCCCCAGATCAGGAACATTTGACTTGGGAGCGGAGGGTGCTTTACAGATACTTATGAAGGAAAATTATTAAAATGTCTTATTTTTTATGGAAATAAAGGGTAATACATTGATAGATTAAATAATAACTAAGTGGATGATAGACGTGTACATTTTCAAAGTGTTCTAGGAAAACTGAAGGTTAGTTACTAGGTCATTTGCTTTGTTACAAACAGATGAATGGTTTTGGAAGACTTGAACATTTTTCAGGAGCAGTATATGAAGGACACTTTAAGGACAATATGTTTCATGGACTAGGGACTTATACATTCCCAACAGGGGCAAAGTACACTGGAAATTTCAATGAAAATAGGTAAGCTTAAAATAAGTCACTGTAGTTCTTATTTCAGGCATGTTTGCTTAAATGTTATATTTCATTAATGCTAAATATTTTTTTGTAATATATTTGGTTAAAATATATTTGGTAAGAAATGTTGGGTTATTTATGGGGAAGAAAGTGTTATGAGATGTTAAGACCATCATGAGCCTTCATTCATGTTGATGATCTGTTAGACTTTTCATTTATTTCCTCTTGAATTCCTCTATTCCTATCAAACTTTGCAGTTAGCTTGGAAATTGAAATTATTGAGAAAATGGAAGCCAAAAATTACTTTCACTTGAAGTATCTTGATACATTTTTTTTTTTTTCCCCCTCACCCGAGGACATTTTTCCATTTTTTGTACAGATAGAGTGGGAGGGAGATAGAGGAAGAGAGAGAGAGGGAAACATCGATGTGAAAGGGACACATCGAGTGGCCGCCACCCGCACGACCAACCAGGGCCGGGGACAAACTGCAACCGAGGTACATGCCCTTAGCGGGAACCGAACCCGGGTCTCTCCGGACTGCAGGCGGACGCTCTAACCGCTGAGCCAAACCGGCCAGGGCTCTTGATACATTTTTAAAAAGCAGCCTTGGGGATAATGTCATGATTATTTGTTTCATTTTGACCTGATAGGTGTATTCATTTTTACTAGGCTAATTTAAAAAATGTAAGCAAAATTAGTTCATTTTCAAATTGTAGAAAGGTACCTACTTTACAAGCTTAATCTTTATACTGAAGACCATGCCATGTCATCCAGAGGTTCATATTCATTTATAAATAGCCCTTTATTATTTCCAGAACTGAAAGTGCAGCCTAATTGTTAGGAAGTGGTTGATGTGAATACATTGAGGATGTGAAACCATTGACTCCATGTTTGTGATGATAACACATAAACTTTTTCAGGTTATGTTAATAAAGGGGGAAAAGTCTAACTATGGAATAAAATCTGTTTGTTTACGTGAAGTGCATTTTTATCACTCTAAAGAGCCCAAGGAAACACCAGCACAGAACACAGCATCCCAAACATAGTTGATGGTCAATACGTGTTCGTTGAATAAATAAATGATCTAATATATACTTTTCATTTTTTAACAGATTGTTTTGGTTTTGTGTAAATTTAGCACATGTGATCCTAAAATCTTGGACATCAAAATTTGTATAATGACAGTGTTCATTTGAAATAGTAATATTAGTAGTTGTTGTTTTGGGTAGGATATGAAAATAGGATGCTGGGTTTTAAATCAAAGTCTGAACATAGAAAACTATAATTTTGTAGACATAGTATATGGTATGTCATAGACTAGACAGTCTTGTATCTGGACTGTAAATTCTTGGTCTTGGTTAATGAACAAACTTTTTTTTTTTTTTACTGTTGCAGGGTGGAAGGTGAAGGACAATATACTGATATCCATGGACTAGAATGGTGTGGTAACTTTCATTTCACAGCTGCTCCAGGCCTGAAACTAAAGCTCCACATGTAGATTTTCTACATTTCAGTTATAATGTGGCAATTGAAGTGTTTAATTATAAGGAAAACAAATCTGTCATATGAAACAATTTCATACACTACCGCTATATTATAATATTGCCAATAAAACCATTACTCACTTAAGCCTTTTTGAACTTTATTTTTTATTTTTATTTTTTTTTATCCTCACCCGAGGATATTTTTCCATTTTTTTTGTACAAATAGAGTGGGAGGGAGAGAGAGGAAGGGAGAGGGGGATAGAGAGAGAGAAACATCGACGTGAAGGGACACATCGAGTGGCTGCCACCCGCACGACCACCAGGGCCAGGGACAAACTGCAACCGAAGTACGTGCCCTTAGCGGGAACCGAACCCGGGTCTCTCTGGACCGCAGGCCGACGCTCTAACCGCTGAGCCAAACTGCCCAGGGCTTGAACTTTATTTTTATCATCTTATAATTAGTTTAAAATAAATTATGTGATTCAATTGAGAGTTTGCTCATTTTAGTAAACACAGCAAAACTATCCAAATTTTGACAAAGTCAATTTCCAATCCTGTGCTTGAATTTTGGCATCTTTAAAAAGTATGTCTAGCCCTGGCCAGTTTGGCACAGCGGTTAGAGTGTCGGCCTGCTGACTGGAGAGTCCCAAGTTTGGTTCCCACTAAGGGCATGTACCTTGACTACAGTTTGTCCCAGGCCCCGGTTGGGGTCGTGTGGGTGGCGACCACTTGATGTGTCTCTTTCACATCGATGTTTCTCTCTCTCTCTTCCCCCATCTCTCCTTCCTGCTTTACTTGAAGATAAATGCAAAAATGTCCTTGGGTGAGGATAAAAAAATAAAAATAGCCCTGGCCAGTTTTGCTCAGTGGTTAGCGTGTCGGCCTGTGGTTCAGAGACCTGGGTTCAGTTCCTGCTAAGGGCATGTACCTCGGTTGCAGTTTGTCCCCAGCCCTGGTTGGGTCATGCGGGTGGCAACCACTGGATGTGTCCCTTTCACGTCAATGTTTCTCTCTCTCTTCCTCTCTCTCCCTCCCACTCTATCTGAACAAAAAATGGAAGCATGTCCTTAGGTGAGGATAAAAAAATAATAACAATAAAAGGTGCCTATATATGTGTGTTAAAGGAAACTATCAAGAAAATGAACAGTCCACGGAATGGGAAAAAATATTTGGAAATCACATATCTGATAAAGGTTTAGTTTCCAGAATATATAAAGAATTCATATATAAATATATATAAATAAAAAGACAACCCAATTAAAAAATGGGCAAGAATTTGAATAGACATTTCCTCAAAGGGGAAAAAAATATGTCTAGTAAGCAAATGAAAAGATGCTCAACATCATTACTTTTTAGAGAAATGTGAATTAAATCTACAATGAGGTACCACTTCACAATCATTAGGATGGCTATATTTAAAAAGACATATAGCCCTGGCCGGTTTGGCTCAGCGATTGGAGCATCGGCCTGCGGTTCAGAGAGAACCAGGTTCGGTTCCCGTTAAGGGCACATACCTCGGTTGCAGTTTGTCCCCGGCCCTGGTTGGGTCGTGTGGGTGGCAGCCACTCGATGTGTCTCTTTCACGTCGATGTTTCTCTCTCCCTCCCCACTGTATCTGAACAAAATATGGAAAAGTGTCCTCGAGTGAGGATTAAAAAATAAATAAAATAAAAAGACATATAATAAAAGTTGGCAAGAATGTGGAGAAATTAGAAACCTCAAACATTTCTGCTGAAAATGTAAAATGGTACAGCTGCAGTGGAAAACAGTTTCTCAAAAAATTAGATACGTAGTTACCATTTGACCCTGCAGTTTCTAAGTATATACCCAGGAGAAATGACTTGTACAGGAATGTCCATAGTATTATTCACAACAGCCCAATACTGGAAACAGCTGAAATGTCCATCAATTGATAAATGGATAAACAAAGGTGGTATCTCCATACAGTGGAAGATTATTCAGCCATACAAAGGAATGAAGTACTGATACATGCTACAACAGAGTCCAGTAAAAGAAGGCCATATATTGTATTGTCATTATGTGAAATGTCCAGTAGATTAATGGCTTCCAAGGTAGGGAGGAATCGGGAGGCATGGAGTTTCTTTTTCAGGTGATGAAAAATGTTTTAGAATTAGTAGTGATAGTTGTACGACCTTGTGAATACTAAAAACCACTGGATTGCCCTGGCCGGTTTGGCTCAGCGGTTAGAGCGTCGGCCTGCGGTCCTGAGAGACCCGGGTTCGGTTCCCGCTAAGGGCATGTACCTCGGTTGCAGTGTGTCCCCGGCCCTGGTTGGTTGTGCGGGTGGCAGCCACTCGATGTGTCCCTTTCACATCAATGTTTCTCTCTCTCTCTCTCTCTGTTCCTCTCTCTCCCTCCCACTCTACCTGAACAAAAAATGGAAAAATGTCCTCGGGTGAGGATTAAAAAAAAAAAAAAAAAAAAAAAAAAAAAAAACCACTGGATTATTCACATTAAAAGAGCAAATTTTGCATATGGTATGTGAATTATATCTCAATTTTCTATAAAGTAGATCTTTGTGTCCTCGCATATTCTATGGCTAGAAAGCTTCTTTACCTTCTACCTAAAATTTTTTTCAGTTACCATTACAGTACATGACATAAAAATTACAATAAAGACCTGAGTGTTTTTGTTGAAACTATTATTCTGAAACTGACAAAAAATAGTACATGCAATAGATAACTTCTGTATATTTCTTCACTCAAAATTTTATTAAAATATATATTTCTCAATATATCATTGCCAAAATTATTTTTTTTGTACTCTAAATCTGTGTTGAAATGTGTTTTAAGCCCTGGCCAGGTAACTCAGTTGGTAAGTGCACACACCAAGATTGCAGGTTTGATCCCTGGTCATGGCACATACAAGAATCAACCAGTGGCCCTGGCCCATTTGGCTCAGAGGTTAGAGCGTTGGCCTGCGGTCCAGAGAGACCTGGGTTCGGTTCCCGCTAAGGGCGCGTACCTCGGTTACAGTTTGTCCCTGGCCCTGGTTGGGTTGTGCAGGAGGCAACCACTGGATGTGTCCCTTTCACGTCGATGTTTCTCTTTCTCTCTCCCCTTCCCCTCTCTCCCTCCCACTCTAGCTGAACAAAAAAATGGAAAAAAGTCCTCGGGTGAGGATAAAAAAAAAAAATCAACCAATGAATGCATAAATAAGTGGAACAACAAATCTCTCTCTCTCTCTCTCAAATCAATAAATAAAAATTTAGAAAAGAAATGTATTTTATAATATTAAAATAAAAATGGCATTTTTGTTAGTTTTTTATAATAATAGCTTTGCATCTAATTTAAAAATACCCTATTAGTGTACAAAGATATAGTTTAAAAATTAGACATTTTTGGATTTGTTGCTTAGCATTAACTGGTATTCCTTTAGAATTAAATATTATTTACTGGAATTTATAAGGAGAAAATTACTGGACAGGTTAAGATGAGAGGATCTTTTTTGGGAGCAGAACATATAATGCAAATTCAAAACTTCTGGAAAATATAAAAAATATCTGCTTTTTACTGCAAACTAAATTTTCCCCAATATTTTTCTTTGAATTATTTAAGGTAGCAAGATATATACTTTACTTTTAAAATCTTTAACTTCATTGATATATAAATAAGTTTTCAATGCTCAAGTTTCCAGTGTTCTAAGATATCCAAGTTTTCCCTCTTAAACAGTTTTTATTATTTTTTCTTTTACTCTTTGAAACTAAACGCAGTTCAGTTATTTGATTAGTTGATGCTAGAATTTGACCTGGAGCTTATGTAATTAGAAGAGACACTAGTTTTCCTCATTTAAAAGCCTTGTTAGCATATGACAGTCTCCTTTCGGGAAGTCAAACCTCTCTACTGCTTCTTTTTATAACCTTTAAGTTAATTCAGAATCCAAATAAGCCTTGATCTGAGGAGGATATAACCACAGCAAGCACCATGGGGTAAGTGTGTGCTTTTATGTGCTTTGAGAGGCATTGAGATGGGAAATTGTTTCATAAAAGAAGAAATTCCATCAATTCTTAGTAATTTTGATTCAAAATATGCTAACATTAAGAATAAAATTTAAAAATATAACTTTTTATTCAAAAGTTATAACAACTTGTAAAACATTTATTTTCTTGCTTATTTTAAAAATTATGTCATAATCTGCCTTTGGAAATGTTTGGGGACTGAAGAGTTTTGCATATTTACATATTTAATTGAAGCTGAATTAAATTTTCAGAGCAATCTTAAAGAAAGGATGACAGGGTTCTTGATTTACAAGGCAAATAAATCCAACATTTCTTTGGGATTAAGAATAAAAAATGAAAAATATTAGGAATGAAAGGGAGGTTGATTTGTGCCTTTTGTAACACAGAAAGGGATAAAGGAGTTCACTCCCCTATATACAGAAAAATGTGTACTGATTAATTATACAGGGACATGAGTGAATCTTAATTCTAAACCCTTTGTAGCATTTTGGGAGCATGATGAGAAGAAATGGGTTTCATTTGAAAGGTTTCTATTCTTTACTTAAGTGATAATAGTATTCCATAAAACTTAGTATTGGAATTATATGGGTTTTATATGCTAAAAAAATAGTATTCTGAAAATATAAAAATTTATTTTTTATTACCCTTTTGTCTTTTTTAATAATAGCTCCTTTCAACACAAAATTATATTGCTACAAATGATATAACCATTCACCATAAATGATCAGAAATTTATGGTAGAGAAATAACTTTTGACACAAATTTATTCTAAAGTTTCTATGAATTTAATTAACATCTACATTTTTGTTAATACTATGGACTCTGAAAAGGCAATCTAAACCAGTTTGAAACCTCAGAGGCTTTTGAAAGGAAGATGATCATACTACTGTTAACTTTTAATACAAATATAAAGGTTAACCTTTAGGTTCCCCTCCATCCCTTCTTTTTCCTTGAACGGCAGTAGTTCTTAACATTTTCAGGGGGTCAAGGATCACCTTAAGAGTCTTTGAATACCACCACCCCTCTGCAAAAAATAATGTAAAATCACACAAAATTTTCCACACAATTTCAGAAGATTTACAGATGGTCTGAATCCAGTCTATGGACCCCAGGTTAAGAACCTTTGATTTTGAATTTGAGGACTAGAGTATGAGGTGCTGAATAT